GGCCAACAGATCCCGGCTGGAGCTGGAGCTGTAGGGAGTGGAAGTTCCAGCTCTGTATGGGATGCAGGTCACAAGCAATTTAATGTCAATTTTGGTATTAAACGTGCTGGCTGCCAATTCACCTGCTGTTCCTGCCAGCCTGCGCCTCTTTTCATCTCTCTCTCTCTCTCTCTCTCTCTCTGTCTGTCTGTTCTGTCTATTCAGTCTGCTCCGTCTGGGCAGCTTACCCTGTTTGTCAAGCTGCCACACGCACTCGATGGAACAACTAAGATTGGGCCAACATTGTGGGCGGTGGGCGGTGGGCTGTGATAACTTGGCCAAATGAATGTTGACAGACCACTGGCATTCGATTAAATCTAATTAATTTCGCTGCAAGACTCTACGCCTTACGTGTATATCTGCCGTTGATTTAGTTGTTCTAATAGTTATCAGATTTGTTTGCCTGCCATTAATTAGGTTTTCCATAGAAGTTTACCGACTACTGCCACGAGTGGTGCTGGGTGCTCGAGATGGATTCTTATTGCAGCTGTTGCTGCTTTTGGCATTGCATATCCTGTCACGCACACTATTTAACATGTTAACAAAATGGCGACCAGCACTCTCAGGCACACGCACGCACATATTGTTGAGTGCAGGCTGCTGCTGCTGCTTCTGCTGCTGGCAACCGCAGTGAACTTTTCCTTTTCCTCTTAAGAAATGAAAAAAAAAAAAAAAATTGTGAAAAGAAAACTCTGCTCGGCTTCGTGCTTGATGCTCCGTGCTGTGTGTGGCGCTCGACATCTGGCGCTGGCATTTCAAGTTGAAAATTTGCAAACAAGCCAGAAAACGACGCACAGAAATTATATGTGCCAGCTTGGAAATTAAGTTGAGGTTCTCGAGAGCACATTAAATAAAATAAAAATAATGCATACATTAAAAAAAAATAATTATCATATGACAAATGAGAAATACCCTTAGGTAGCATGCAACAAATCTAAAATCACATAAATTTATTTAGCTTAGCAGAATTTTAGGTCGAATTCATATTGCACCCCCAATTGAGTGATATTTTCAATGAAAACTTTTCAATATTGTGGTGCACCACAGCACTCACCGTGCTCCCCGTCGTGCGAAAGTAATTTTACCCGGCACAAGGTCAGAGAAAGAAATCGCGAAAGTTTTTGTAGCACACCACATGAAAAAGTGAAATTTAAGCCACACACGCCGTGCGGCAAGCGGGCAGAAGACAGGCGACAGTTTTGCGCCAAGGCCAGAAGACGCGTGGGGTATGCCACACACAAACACACACACACACACACACACACACGCACACGCTCGGCTTGGTGTGTTAAGTCAGCTGCCGCCATTTTGTAGCCATTTTTCCATGCCAAACAAAAGCCGCTTACAGCCCCCCTGGTCCTTCAGTTTTTTCTTATGGTTTTTTTTTTTTGGTCTTTCTTTATTTGGCTTGGATCGGGCTGTTGCCTTTGGCTTGAGTTTGATGAATTTTCCACACGCCCCACGACTGTCTGCAAAGTTATTTTATTTTGTGTCAAACAATGGAGAGACACACCGACAGTGGGTGCACAGGGGATTGGGCGAACTCGTCGCCTGATTAGAACTTGTGAAGTACAGCAACCACACGCCAATTAGGCAAATTGCCGAGCTGCATTTTAAACTCCCACACGCTTATCGACTTTGGCACTGATTAGACCCAACCATCCCACTACCACCACCCCCCCCACCCTCAAAAAGGTGGTAACACGATGGAAAGGCTCTCAGGTGTAATTACATTAACAATTCCGAAAACATTTTGCCCAGTTTGTGTGTTTGGGTGTTACGTACGCCCTCAAACACACAGCCCATAACCCACAGCCGAGTCCTGCAATGTCACTCACTGCTGGGCATTCAATGTGGCACGAAACGTATCCATTATTCAGAACGTGGTGCAAACAACTCGACCGACAACCCAGCAACGTTCGCCTGCGTGTAAGACGCAGTGGCTACATGCACATACATGCCTCATGCCCTCCGTTTCTGCCTCATACTCGGCCAACATTCCATGGCCTACGCACAGCATATTCGGCATCTCTGAACTTGCTACTCTGCTAACCTTGTGCATCTGCCATGCAATTGGCCCCGGGATAGCCCTACCCCCCACGCCAGCAATAACAACACGGACCACAAGAGCGAAACTGCAATGCACTGCAAGGATGTGCAAACATCGGCGCTGTCCAGCCGTTGGTGCGATGGAATCGGTTCTGTGGTGGTCCACAGTAAGGTCCACTGACCTGCTCGTAATTAAAGCCCGCCAGTTGGCGGCTATAAGGTAGCTCTCGATAGCAGAATTGCTGCGAAGGAGCACAATGGCCACACATGGTGGCGATAACCAAAAGCACATAGAGAGGACTAATGGGGCAGGCCGAATGGTGTACAGCCAATTCCGCCTAACTATGAAAATTTTAACAATAGTTATTAACTAATTACGTATTATTGGAGTTACGGAGAAGAGCAAGATGCATCAACAAAATATTAAATCATGAATGTAAGGAAATTATCTATAAATCCCTAATCAGATCTACTTTCAGTAGGATTTTCCTATGTCTAAATAGACTACGTATCCCTCAATAAAAGAACAGTAGATGCAGCTGCAATTCCATTAAGTGTTCGAATCAAGACTGAAGCTAATCAAAGAACTCAATTTTCTCTCGCACTCGACTATCCAAGTAATCTTCGATAATTCAAACCTTTGTTATAGTCAATTTCACATCGTATAGGAACGACAATCAGCCATCAAATGCCAGCCATGAAATGCAATTGCATCTGCAGATACAATCGCCTTTGACAAAAAGCAGGCAAAAAGGGACATGTAAAAAAAAAAATGGTCTCGTTCAGGCAGAAGTTATCGTTGGCTGCGCATCGCTAACAAAGTACAGTCACAGCAGCGTTACCAATGACAGCCATTTTTCTTGCATCAGGAGTCACACAGAGGTGGACACTCGAGTGCACTCGCCCTACCCCGTTGTAGCCACAATTCTGGCCACATTTCCTCGTTCTATTTCTTTTGGCTTTGCTGCTTTCTCTTCCTCTCTCTCTCTCTCGCTCTCAGTCTCTTTCTCTGTGTGTGTTTTGTGGGTGAGGAGGTTTTTGTTTGGTGGCCGCCTGCGGCTGGCAAAACGACAAAATGTATGCGATGTTCCGGCTGAATTGCAGATTTTCATCCTCATCCTGCCACACACTCACACACACTCACACTCACTCACTAACTCCTGTCGCTTATTCCCTTCGCCTTTATGTGCAAGTTGGCTCCCCTGGCCCGACATGCTCGTAGCTTTCACTTAGTTTGCTCTTGGGGCAGCATGAGAAGCAGCAGAAAGAGGGACAGTGTTTTGCCATTTGTCCGCATATTGCTAATGGAATGGCATACACATACACGTACTAACACATCTACCTTGCATTAGCCGGGGGATTATCCGGCATACTTTCGGGATCATATCTAAATTGAAAAAGTTATCGGAGCCGTGTGTCAAATGTGTCGCTTTTTATTTGCATTTTATTTTCATGGAACGTGTGCTTGCCGCGGCGTATAATCGATTCAAATCGATTCCGCTTATAACACACCAGCCCCTCCCCCTCGCCACTACCAGCGACATGCCGCTGACAGCTGGCTGTCCGGCTGGCAGTAAACAAAAATAATGTTTGCCTGCTTCCAGGCGCGCTACATAAATTATAACATTAAAGACACCGAAGGGCATACAAATCTTATTTATTCGTTGAAATCGCTGCGTCGGACTTTACCCCCGCCAGCGGTCCACACTGGCTAAGACTGGGTTCGGGTCTGTGGCCTGGCCACATTTGCTGATAATTCTCGCCCATAAATTAACCAAACAAAAGTTTTCCCCATGTTTTCACAGCTCCACGGCGCAGTTCCATCGAAGGTTAAATATGGGGGCACGAAATTAAAATCTGCTGATGCTTAGGCAGTAGATTTAACTGGCATACCACCACCTTCCACCCAACCAGAATCCATCCAGAATCCATTCTCCATCCAAATGTGCAGAGCCATTAGGGACTGCAATAGAATTTGCTCATTTGACGCCTCAAACGTTGTAACCCCCCCCCACCGAAAGCTTATCAATAGGTCACCGGACGAGCCTCATTACGTATTGATGCCCTCTCATGTGAAATAATTGCCGTAGTAGTCCATTAGCATTTAATAATTCATGGCTGGATGTGTGTGTGTGTATGTGTCTGGCTGGTGTCAGAGTCTGAGTTGGCCAAAGTCAAAACTGTGTTGGCGTTGATGTTGTGGATATTGAGTTGAGGCAAACGGACACAATTGTAGACACGATTAGCTTCTCGATTTCTGGTTGGATGGACGAACATCTTACACAAGTTGATAATAATTGCCATAATAATTTGGATGAGCTGCACATAAAGAGTTGAATGATAATTGTGTACGGGGTATTGTATACACATATGTATAATGGGTACCGAAAGGGGGAAAGCTATTTAGGTAATGGTCCTTAATGGTAACCATTAGGGCTAGAGATTTTAGAGATTTTACTACGGGTTTTTACGTGCATATTGGCATATTGCAACTAGCTTGTCCTTTCTCATTACATGAAGTTGATTTTGATTGATAGCTTTGCCTTAGGTTAGAGACCTACATTAGTAGTATCTCTAACTCTGCATAAGTCACGGTCAATCATATCCCAAACTAACCCATCCATTCCACAATAATTTGATACACATTTCTGTATTGTTTTAAAATTCCTCTTTATTTTTCTGAATGAACTTTAATTATTTTGCATTAATTTTATTATCATATTATCTTCATTAAATCTTTCACATATACCAATTATTTGTTAGCTAATATATTTTGTTTTCGCCAAAGCATCGAAGCTTAAACTAAAATACATTTTACAGGAACCAAAATTTGCCGATACAAATTTAAATATATATTTTGTCTTATTGTTTTTTTTCTTTAGTTTTTTTTTTTGTGTATATTTTCTAAATAAATAAAAATATTTGAAAACATGTCTACACACTAAATAAATGAGAATAGAATATTAAAGGTACTACAAAATAAGGTGATTTAATGTAGGTTTAATGCTTTTAAACTGATCACAGCAAATTGTTTTGAAATACCCAAGAACGCATAAGGAAACGAAGTAAAATGAATGATTATAATCGGATATAGGTAATAAGTAGTTTACTAAATTCCCCAAAGATTGTTTTATTCTTTTTTTTTTTGGAAATTTTCTCTAAATTTGTTTACTTTTTAATGTATTTACAGACATGTCTTGTTCAAATATTTAGCTAAAATTTATTTAAAATTTGGTGCTAAAAATGTTACTTTAATCGATTTGTTCCAGATAGTATCCATAAAGTTGTCTTTTTATTGATTTATGTTTTGTTCCGAAAACAAAGAATATGCTATAACTAGTCACAATAATTGTTAGGCCTATAAACAGTTTTTCTTTTAACATTTTAGGTTTTTTCTTTCTTTTTTTTTTAATTTCACAAAATGTTTTTTTCTTGATCAAACTTCAACAAAATGTCTTAACTTTTTACAATTGATTTCATGGACTTGAAGGGAAAGTGGAGGAGTTTCTGGCTCCGAATGGCTTCGTGGCGCTCGTCTCTCCTTCTGTGAGTTCTTGTGGGCTTTTGTGTGCGTGTGTGTGTGCGTGTTCTAGAGAGAGAGTATGTGTTGACATGCATGGTTGTTCGTGTGTGTGTGTGTGTCGACGCCGTTAGTCGATGTCAAAACGTAGCGCCTAGAAAAAGTTTTTGTGTTTTTTTTTGTATTAGTTTGTGTGTGTGTGTGTAAATGTGTAGGAGTATATGCATGTATCTGTGTGAATGTGTGGGTGTGTGTCTGTGTTAGTATTTGTTAAATTTAAATTAAATTTTAAACTAGGCAACAAATTGAATTTGTTGAGTATTTTCATTTTCCCCGTTTACTGCTGATGTCGTCCCGCTGTCTTTTCTATTTTGTTTTTGGCATTCTTCTTTTTCTTATTTCTATACGAAAGTTTTCTCTTTTTCATGCTTTACGAATAGCATTTTCTTTTTCAACTTTCATTGCCCGTTTAGTTGAGTTGAGTTGAGTGGGACCTTGGTCTAAGGGAATTACTAATAGGAGATGTTCTTGCGGTCTTCTCCTTGGTCTACGCGGCCAGTATTTCATTTTTTTGGATATGCATCTAAGTGAATATTTGACGGGCTGCCCTAGACACATTGGGTGCCCCGCACGCACAATGGATTAGCAGACTATACGTTTTAAAGGAGAGAGAGAGAGAATAAGATTTGGTTAGTGAGAGCGTAGACATTTGTTTGTTGTTGGAAAAACTAAAAAGTTTCTACAAATAATTATAATAAAAGAAATTAAAACAATTTAGGATCTATACAAAATATCAAAAAATAATTGAAACAGTAGCAATAATGCTATAAAACTAAAACTAAACAACAAATTATAAAATATTAAAAATGTACGAAAAAAGTTATTAAAAAAAGAATAAATGCAAAAATTTAAATAACCATTAATAAGTATAAAAAACATATAAAATTATAAAATACCAGCTAAACCCAACGTGACTATTGTTCAGTAATATATTGTCATACTTATTTATTTCTTCACATAAGAAAATGTTTTGCAAATCTTGCAATCTTTCATCTTGCTTCAAGTATGGAGATTTCTATGACTATTCGTCAGTTGGAAGGAGAGATTTGTAAACCATAATTTAGCACTAAAAAAACATACAATTTGTTGATCAAATAAATACACAAAAAATATAAAACCCGCTGTAAAAACAAAAATAGTTGGTAGTCGGTTTTAATGCGGTTCCCCAGCTAATCCCTCATTTAACTCCACAACAAAATGTGATTTAATACCCAGCGAGAGAGAGAGAGAGAGAGATTTGACAAGCACTCTACTCTGTTTAATGATGATATTTAATTAAAAAATTCGAATGAAAACAGACAACCGCTAAGCTCATGGCCCCAAATTCGCGGCCGAAAACAATTTAGTCCTAACCCGTACGAATATGCAAATTATGTTGTTATTTTTTTGTTGGTTACTGCGGCAACCGAACAGAAAATCTCTTTTAATGCCATTTTGATCAATTTGGCGTAATTATTATAATGCATTGTTTTACGCTTGCTCTGAAATTTTCTTCTTTTGTTGTTGCATTAATTAATTAACCGCTTTCATTAAAATTGGCAACCAAGCAGCAGCAGCAGCAGCGAAATATGGTGACACAAAAAATGTAATTTAATTGAAATATTTTAGTAAAATTGCCACCATATCTCGTGCATATCTGCGGGGTCTCTGTCCTGTCCCAGTCGGCGTGTTAGTTTTGCAGCTGTCGGCTGCGGGACATTTTGACGCTCCACTGACTCCATTTAATTGGCCTTTTTAGTTAATTGCTCAATTGATATGCACATTTTGATTGTATTTGTCGCTCTGCAATTAGCGGAAGCGCCGGGAGCGACCAGAACAGACCCCACAGCCAGTACTCAACGAGCACCGAAGCTCAAATGGATTGTAAATTATATAGAGCAATAAAATGAGAATGGATATTAAATTGTGCACACTAGACAACAATTATGTAATAAAAATGCACCGATAATTTTCCAATTTGTATTTGGTGACCACAACTTACCGTTTTTATTATTAGCTAAATTCTGTCTGCGGCTTTCGCTTTGTTTCGGGCATTTTGCGGGATTATTCGCAGCATTTAAAATTATTGAAGAGCGCATTAGTGGATGAAAAACAATCAATAGAGAGAGAGAGAGATTCTGCTCTATGGGAAAACATTCACAACTCTTTAAGGACCCACGTGGAATACAATCTTAGCTTAGCCTTAGAGTTACAATCCATAACATATTCGTACAACTATGATACGCATACATACACTTAGCCATCTATATACAACATTAATTTAGTTCCTAGATTCACTCCTTAAAATCTGACATAGCTAAAGTCATTGGGATTCGTGGCCATCGGTGGGCCAGACGCACTTACCTCCTCGTCCATGGCCGTGGCATACATGTGCGGCGTCACATTCTTCTCCAGACTGAAGTGATCCTCGGGGGTCTTGTGGTACACGGGATTCTCAAAGTTCATGGAGTTGACGGCACGCGTGCAACGTCTGTACGTGAAAAGGATTAGCTGGAGAAAGGAGAGGACAGATTAAATAGGGATATATATTTTTAATAGGTTACTCCAAAGTAGACACTTACACAAGCCACCACAGTGGTGCCCAATAGACTGTCTATCACAATCCAGGCTATTCGGCCATGATCCTCCTCTGCTGGCGCATCGATCTTGTGGATTGTGTGTGTGGAACTGCTGTCGTTGGTTTTCTTTTCAACTGTTGGGTAAAATCAAGAAGTTAGCAGATGCTTATCGTAGAGTATACGTGATATAAAGGAGTACCCAACACAAGTTAAAACTACGATAAACGGGACATAAAATTAGATGTGTTTTTTTTTTGTAATTATTAGAAGTAGTCCCAAAGTGCATGGCTATTAAATAATCCAAAACCAAAGCCAAAGTCAGTCTTAAATTTAATTTAATAATAAATACATTTATCTGCCAGCAGCTGCATTCAGCTTTTTCTCATAATTTCTGTGACCGAATATAATTACAATTTTGTCTGGCGGCTAGAGCCTGACAAAAAGCGAAATAAAGCAAAGTCGTTGAGGACGACGACGACTACATCCCGTTGCGAATGTTTCCGCTTTCGTGTTTTTTTCCCAGCGTTTTCCCCTTGTCAGTTGTCGCCAGCTCCCTACGAGTGTTCGCTGTCTTTTATTTGGTTGCCTTTTTCTGTTTTTCTGTTTCTGTGTGGTGGGCAGGAAGTTGTAGGATTTTTCCGCTGTCAACATAATTCGTTTTCATATTTTTCCGTTTAGAATTTGTTCAACAGAAAAACAACAAAAAAAGTCGAAAGTTAAGCAGGAGGCTGGAGGCTGGAGGCGCGAGCGCGTTCGCCTGGCAAAGGATATGCCGCGCATTTAACGCGTCCTCAAGTGGCGCCATATACCCACTCCATATCCCCCCCTCCCTATAACTTTTTGTTGCTGTTTTTGGTATTAATTTTTACTATACGAGTGTCCAGGAGCAGGAGCAGCAGGAGCAGCAGCAGCAGATGAGCGTTTGCGGCCCATGTGGCAAGAAATTATCATTAAAAGTTGATAGCGGCAACAGCTGTGTGGCATCGATTAAGGGGTGGAGTTGGCAGTTATGGCGCTGATTTAAGGGGTGTTAGGGGAAGTAGGCGTTAGATAAGATGCTGCAAATTTATTTAAGCGGCATTAACAGACAGTCAACTGGCACGGCAAAATCCGTTGAAAACTTGCACGTTTCAGTGGCATATTAATTGTGGGGAGGGGAGTTACGCACTGTTTATGCGAGTGTGCGTCCGTGGCATAGGGGGCGTAGCAGCTGCGCTTTTCATTTACGATTTAAGAGCGACAGCTTTTCTGTCTTACAATTTCAACGAAATTTACCTTTTTTTTTTTGTTAATTTCTAAACTTAAAGTTTTAGATGTTACATCCATCTCTGACGTAGAATTCTACAACAACAATAACCAGTTTAATTATTTTATCAAAACATTAAACAAAAATTACGATTACGAGTGCGCTAAAATAAAAAAATTCAGCGCATAAATTTCTCTAGCAATCTTTCAAAGTCGGGGCATAAATATTTCTCCCAAACGAGTACCCATCCTATCTGCATAGCGCTCATGTTGTGGCGGTGCTGCCTATAAATGTCATATATTATTGTGCTCTCCTAATCTATAGCAAAATGCAATTTCAGTGCCCCACACAAGCACCATACCGCTCCATTTCAGCCGTTATATAACAGGGAGAGTTATGCCTCATCGCCCATTTGTATAATCCGGCACATGTGCTTTTATATTTATTTTTAAAACTCCAACTCGGGATAACACATGGCAGGTTCTTCTGACCGGCCTCCCCGCTCTGCGGAAGTGCCATAAAACGAACGACAAAATGGCTGTGTGCCTCCATATTCTTTTCCCCAAAATGAAATAAAAACGCATAAAATATGTTCCGTCACCTGTTCGGAGCTGGGGCGGGGGTTTTTCTTTTTCTGGTAAGAGATTAGATAAAAAAAAAAAGTTGAAAACTTTTGAGGCCAATAAAAAGAAGTCAAAAATTGTGTGGCATGCAAATAAACAAAATGGCGGCTTTGCTACTATGTTTTCTAATTTTCCGCCGCCCTCTCTCAAGGCAATATGCAGTAAAGTTCGAGGCGGAGGACAATAACAATTGCCGGAGTGACCAAAGTGCAGGCAAATGAAAGTCATAAAATGTTGCACGATGGCCGGCCAGCAGTGGCGGCATTGGCAGCAGCTGTTGGTGCTTTGCTGTTGTGGCTGTGGCGCCCCATCTACGAGCATGCGTCCGAGGATTTCATTTTATGTGGTATTCTCTGCCTATTAAAAACGCAGTCGTTACTTCGACGGCTCAAAGTTTATGGTCAACGGGTCTGTGTTCCGGCTGCGCCCCATCACTCCCCCATCTGCGTGTCCATCTGGCTGGCTGTCTGTCTGTCTTTCTCTGGGGTATTTGCGAAACTTTGCCTGCGCTTAATTAAGCAATTTGAAGTGGCCAAAGATGGCCATAGAAAAAGTAGCACAAACCGCTAATTGAAATTGCAGTTATGGTGGATGGGCGTCGTCATCATCATTGGCACAGGGCATGGCACAGCAGGGCACGGCTTGGACTGGGGCCGGGGCAGGAACTGGCCTTCGTCTGGCTTGGCTGGGTCATCTAATTGAAATAGTCCTTAACTAGTTTATAGTTATTTACTTGCCCGCGCTTCTGCGAACTTTTCTTTGCCTTCTACTTCGTTCTTGCCCTCCATTTTATATGTATTTTTTTCCCTTCTTCTACTTGGCTTAAGCCCGCCCATTGGCATCATTCTTCTCCTGGCAAATGTGTTGCCAAGTCCGCCCGAGCTGATTAGCGTTTCCATTGCCGCTTGACTCGTTCCGCGCCCCTCTCGATGCCCCACCTCTATGACTTATTTTTTTAATTGATGTAATTAGGCCCGATTGTGCGGGTTCTGGGCTAAACCTTCGCTGGATACATGATTTAGCTTAGTGTAGAGTTAATTTCTTTTTATTTTTATTTTTTGATGACCTTTCTGTGGGATTTCTCTTTTTTTCTGGCAAGTTTAGATGCAAGGGGGGAAGCTTTTTAAATGCTATATGTGGGATAGGCATATTGCAAACAATTTTAATGATGGGTTCAATAGGCAATTTATAATTTCAAATTCTGCTTTTTAAAATAGAAATGATCTTTGAACCCTGCAGCTGGATGCGCCCCCATTTTTTTTTCTCTGCTACTCGCAAAGTAAGGAAAAGGGCATGACAGTCTGATGGGGTTCTCGAAAGTGTCTTGTGGAAAGGGTAGAGCGGGTAAATAGCAGATTCTTACTGGGAAACACAAGGTCACATTGAGTAGGCGGACACGTCTGTACGTTGTTCATTTGTTTTACAACATTTAAGCTTTGCAACTGAGAGAATTAATCTCACTTTGAGTTCAGATTCCATGGTTCTTGGTGTATACAAAGCAATTATGTTCCATGTTTATCTCTCTGTCTATCACGGCTGACTGTTTTGTTTGTGGAAACTCTTTGTAAGAGAGCTACTCTCTCCATGACAGCCCATACCCTGCCGCAAGGCCACCGTGGAGCAGAGAGCGATACCCTCTGCATGGGCTGCTCCAACAAATTGTCAAATATTCTGATAACTTTTTGATGAAGAGCGCACATCAAGAAAACCTTTCAAACATACTTTAAAATATGTGCACATCGCCCACGTAGCCTGCACCCTTTATTAGCCATATTTATTTCGCCCCAAAATGGCAATTTTTTCGTTGGTATCCATAGCAAAATATCTGCTTTCATGGCGCGTTTTTTCCATGGATTCTGATATTCTGATTGACGATGCTGCCTCCATTTTGGCCGTTCAATTGATCAAAGTGTGTTGTCGCCTGCCGGGAGGCAGCCGAAATTTGCGTTTATTAAAAATAATGATATAGCATTTAGAGGCGGCACACAAAACTCTCTCTAATTTGAATCAATAGCAATAGCAACAAGCGAAACAAGATACGGATGCGGCACTAAATACATATAACTGGACTAGGGACATGGGACACGGGACACGGGACAAAGGACACGCAAACACAGAAAGAGAGAGAGAGAGAGAGAGTGAGAGAGTGAGGCAGAGCGTGGAAGAATGGGAGAATGGGGGTAAAAATGTTTCGGGTTGGTGCAAATATTTTTAGGTATAAACCGCAGGCTGATGGGCGTAATTCATTTTGCTACACAACCAACGCAAATATTTCTCCACCAGCGACGACAGTTGGAGGTGTTGACAGTGCCAATTTGGTCGGGATCCTGACGATGCTGACGATGATGCTACCCAGCGACGATGATGATGATTTTGATGATGAATTTCTGGTTAAACTATTTGCCATGCTTCATATGCTGGAGCAGGGAGTGTGATGTCTGCTGCTGCTGTTGGTTTTTGTTTGTTGTTGGTGGTGGTGTACTCGTATCTGTTCGTGTTGCTTATGTACAATTTAATTTCATGGCGATTTGTTGACGACTCTCCCGCTTGTCATTGATAAGTCTGTCTGTCCGTTGAGCTTCGTTTCCTCACCCTGCGGTTGTCAGTCGTTCATCATTCCCTATCCGCATCCGCATCAGCATCAGCAGGGAATCAGCATCAGCATCAGGGCTGGCAGCGCCACCATAGCCATTGCCATTGCCATCGGTGTTGTCATTCTGACAGAGCAGCTCGCAAATTGCATGGAGAAATGGTGAAATTTGTCCGGGTCTGGGTCTGTGTTCGGGTTCCGGTTTGGGTTTAGGTCATAGGGTACCCGCTTAAGCTCGAAAAGGGGGGGTTCGATGTTGTAGCTGTTGTTGCCATTAAACATGTCACCAATGCTTCCCTTTTGTGGTTTTTGCGCTGGGTGAACCCGATATTTATGTTTTACGTTGAACTCGGTTCGCATTTTGCATGGATATGTTTGAGTATGGATACGAGTAAGGGCAGGGGTATGGGTACGGGTACGGGTACGGTATGTGTGTGTGCATTTTGAGTGATTACGTCGATATCATTGATGTTGATTTATGATGATGATGATGATGATGGGGTATGGTTGGTTGTACGTGGGCACTGTCGATGTTGCAGGTTGTTCGAGATGTGAGCTGAAATTTAAAGACAGCTCGCGACTAAAGGGTAAAGGTGAAAATGAAATTAACACATGGATCCCACACATGGACACACATGGGACAAAGACGAGTACGAAACGGGGGAACCAACACCAGAAAGCACTTAAATGTAGCACTGAAGAAATAGTTAGCTATGGACTGGACTGCCCATAGTTTGTTCAGCCCAAGCAGAGAGCACCGTGCACCCAGTTAATATATTGCTAATCCTAAGAGAACCTCCACCAATAGGCGTACTGTCAAAAAGTATCTCATACCAGGCACTTTAGTGTGCGCATCTTGAGGTGGTTTCGTTGTGAATGCTAAGGTAGCATTTTTCGTCCTGCTGCGCACTGTGGGACGCACAACTTTGATACGCACTGTGGGCCAGAAATTGGAGTTAAAGTTAATTTCATAAATGGAAAATGCGAGAATAAAATTCAACGAATGCGGCGGCCTGCAGTTAAGGCCAGCAAAGGGTCACTTAATAGCCCTGTACGCAAAGGCCGCAACCGCAACAAGGATGCGTTCTGTATCTGTCTGTGTGTGGGTGTGTGTTGGTGTTGACCAACTCAACCACAAAATGCACCCATTGAGGCAGACAGACAATTGCAGGCGCATCAAATTACAATTACAAAATGCACTCTACGCATTTCTCCCCCACAGGTCAAAAGGGCAAAGAACAAAGGCAATGCTACTCACGCTCTTCGACACACATAAGACCATCCGACATCAGCCTGAGGCCCGTGGGACAGGCGCAGGAGATGCGCGGACTGCGCTCGTTGATTCTTGGGGCGGGCAGACACAGGTGGGAGCAGTGGCCATTCACGGACTGGCAGTGATTGATGCCATCGGGCTGTCGATACGGATGGTACACATGGATCACCATGGGGTTCTGGAGCTGTACGAGAAAAGTAGCGAGTGTTAGGGGGGAGGAACAGAGAACAGGATAAACAGAGCTGAAGCTCACCATGTGAACCGCTGTGATGGGCTCCACGTTCTCGCCCGTGAACTTGTTGGCCTTGAAGACGGTCTGCTTGTCCCAGTCGGTCCAGTAGATGTAGTCCTCGAAGGTGGTGATGGAGAACGGATGCCGCAGGTACTCCGTGGAGTAGAGGATCTGGCGCCGCTGGGAGCCGTCGTAGTTGGCCGACGAGATGACGTTCAGCTTGCCGTCCACCCAGTAGATGCGCTTGCGCACCAGGTCCAGGGTAATGCCGTTGGGCCACTTCACGTCGTAGCTGATGATGGTCGTGCGGTGGGAGCCATCCATGCCGGCACGCTCGATGCGCGGGGAGGCGCCCCAGTCGGACCAGTACATCCAGCCCTCGATGGGGTCGAGGGCGATGGAGCGCGGTATGTCCAGCGCATCCTCGATGAGCACCTTGCCCATGTTGCCGTCGAAGTTGGTCAGCTCGATGGTGCACTTGTGCGTGTCCGTGTAGTAGACGTGGTTGTAGATCCAGTCCACTGCCAGTCCGTCGGAGGTGACCGACGACTGCTTCAGCACCGTTGTCTTCTCGTTACCCTCGTCGATGGGCGCCTTGTAGATGCTCTGCGTCGTCACGTCGCTCCAGAAGATCATCCCCGTGCGGAACACAAAGTCCAGGGCCGTGGCCGACTTGGTGCTGTTCACGATCGACGTCATCTCCATGTGGTCGAGTGCAATCTTTCGGATATCGTGACGTCTCGCCAGCAGCAGTGAGGCATGGCCCTCGCCAGCCTTGCAACGCGTGTGGTTGCGCGGGTCCCGCATGTATCCCGCCTCGCATTCGCACTTGAACCCTCCGATCTCGTTGATGCACATCTGGGAGCAGACGCCCGGGTTCTCGCACTCGTCGATGTCCACACAGGTGCGCTTATCCCCCGATAATTTGTATCCCTTTCGGCACTCGCACTCGTATCCCACCACCAGGTCCACACAGCGGTGCATGCAGCCACCGTTCTTGGAGGCACACTCATTCACGCCGCACTTGCCGGCCGGCTCGTCCTCGCCGTCGGGACAGTCCTTCCGCCTGTCACAGACCTTGTCCAGAGCGATGCACTGACCCCCACCGCAGTTGAATTCGGTGGTGGCGTTGCACTGCCTGGGGGGTGTGGCCAGGCTGCAGTCCCTCTCGTCACTGCCATCCGCGCAGTCTTTCTCCCCATTGCAGGTGAGGTGTCCGGCGATGCAGCTGTGATCCCCGCACTGGAACTGATCCGGCCTGCAGGTCACATTCCGGCATTTGGCTGGATCCTCGTCATCGCCGCCGGGACAGTCAATATCCCCGTCACACACCCAAGTACTGTGCAGGCAGGTGATGCGATCATTGCACGAGAACTCGTATGGCTCGCAGAAACTCATCGAGAGTCTTGGAACTGTGCTGCAGTTTTGCTAAAAGAGAGACAGAGAGAGAGAGTGAGAGAGGGGTGGTTAGGGGTTGGTGAGTATATGTGGGTGCCCAGGGGGGAAAAATCTCCGGCTGAAGGAAGTTAACTTTTACTACAAAATACAACAGTTTGCTTTTGCTGTTAAGTGCCAGCCAAATATTCTGGCTACAAAGCTTGCCACACACACACACACACACTTACACACTATCTAAAAATCACAACCAGCACACATATGCATATATGTATGGATATATGTAGTGCACTTTATCCCTTTGGCTATTTTTAGCATTTTTGTTGCATATTTTTAGGAGCTGCAAGCAAACATTTTTCACATTTTCATACCCTCATCAGAGCAGGGTATATATGCTGGATGATGGTGAATCCAAGCTGTACTCAGTACTACTACAGAATATTTGGAATAAATTGTATGAAGATCTTAGCAAATTAAAGGGAAACTAATTCCCTTTAATACTGGCGAAATATTCATATGACATATCTAAGCAACAAATAGGAAAAAAAACAGGAAATAATAAGCTAAAAAAAACCCTTAAGGAATAAAAAATATCTAGTTACAAATCTTCTCCCTTTCCTTCACGTAAGGGCATAGAATGTTCGGCTTGCTGTCTATGCATTTTCGGATAGTTTGCGTTTCCCATTTTTTTCCTGTTGGGTGCCATGCAATTTTGGCGCTACACAACTGACAACAAAAGCTATGCGTCATACATATAAATGTTTATGGGAAGCAGTTGCCGACATCGTCGTCCTGGTCGTCGCTGCCTGTTTTGAATAATGCTCGCGTCCTGCATAATTTATGCTTCCTAGCTGGGGCTCATATAAATATATATTTATATGCGAGGGTTGTTTTACAGCCCTTCTTTAGCATGTGTGTGTACTGTGTGCTGTGTGTTTGTGTTTACGTTAATAATTTGGTCATATCAATTTTCATGGCCAGCTGAATGGGAAAGCAGACTGTTGTCCTAACGAGACCATAGCTTACCTTCTCATCGCTGTGATCCGTGCAGTCATAGTCGCCGTCGCAGACCCATCGGTTGTTGATGCAATCACCGCTGTCGCAGGTGAATGCCCCCTGGGGGCACTTTCCCCTGGGGGGACAGTTCAGCTCATCGGAACCGTCCATACAGTCGTGATCGCCGTCGCATCTCCAGCGGCTCTGGATGCAGTCGCCACTGGTGCAGGTGAACTCATCCGAGCGGCATGTGGCATCTGCATAGAGTTCAGGTAGGGGGAATTAGCCGGATATCTCAATGGGGTTTTAGGTGGAGGATTTACAGGCTGATTAATGAATGGATGTGTGTGTGTGTGGGGATGCTTTTTACAACAAAAACCTTTGTGGATAAACAAAAACGCAACAGAAACCAACACCATTTAAAAAATTGCTAGCAAACAAACAAAGCATACAAGGAAAAGGCTGTGTGTGGAGGTAGGATTTGTGGATGCCACACAGACAGTACTACAACATCTACTACTAGAGTATTGCAATCTAAAGTGTTTCTGCGTAAATATTTGTGCTTTATTGGTATACGATACGATATACGAGCGGTGGGTAAGTATGGAATTACACAATTTTCAGTGAAATGCAAATGTGTGTCAGCAGAGCAAGTAATATATGTAGCAGGGCAGGGAAATATAGAAGCAACAGAAAAACGATAAATACGAGTAGATTTCACCAAAACAAAAGCAGTGACAGACAGAGAGAGTTGCAGTAAATAGAAATACAGATATTAATGGGGAATGGGGGGGGGGGCTTACTGCACTGGGCCTCATCGCTGCCATCGTCGCAATCCTTGTTCTGATCGCACATCCAGGAGAGTGGTATGCACACACCCTCGCCGGACTTGCACTGGAACTGCTCCGGTGAGCAGGTTTTTCTCGCTGTAAAATAAAATATATACAAAATATTTATGAGTTAAGTGCAAATGTTCTGAAATTAAAGCAGGAAAAGTAATCGGAGTACTAAGGGGCAACACACAGCCTTCCCTTAAGGGATAATCTTTGGTGAAGTTGGTGCTATGATATTGCCTTCAAAATAGCTTACTAACTGCTTCCCTAATGGCAAGCACAGCCATCAGGATAGAAGCAAATGGTGCACTGAGAGAAAGACAAAAACTTTGCATCCCGTTTACCGTTATAATCATTTTAAATCATTATTTTTCGCCCAGTGTACGTGCCGAAGACGGCCTTAAAGTAGGCAGCCAAGTTTTGACTTGTAATTAAGTTTATAAGCAGCTGTAAAGGGACCTCCGTACGTTCTCCGATGGCAAAGTAATAAACATAGTTGTCATGCCAGCAAACACACGCAAACACACGCACACACACACACACACACACACACACTCACAGGCACGTACAGCAGTAGGAAGAGGGAGGCGATGAGAAACCATTCTGGGCTAAACAGTTGGCATTTTATCTAGGCAGTAATTAAGACATTATCAGCCAACACTCCATAAAGTTAAAACGCACACATGCGTATGCATTAAAGCAATTATCGCAGACACCACCACCGCTACCCTTCCCCACATCCCCCACACACCAGACACACAAACACACAAACACACAGATGCTCGTACTCGTAGTCGTGTCTGAAACTTTCATTGAAGTTATTCCCGAGCCCAAGAGCAGCACGGACATTAAATAAAGCTGACAACACTACCACATACACTCCCACATACACACACACGCACAAGTTGACAGAAACGCCTACACCCACACCCATACAGCTGCATAAAAACGCTTGTGTTTAACCCTTAAATGCGTATTAGTATGCCAGTTCTTTCAGTGCTTCTCTTCTCGTACTTTCTTTCATTGCCGGATTCTTTGGGCCTGCTTTTTTTTTTTTGGCCTACCACCCAGCCCGTAAAATGAAGGTCCTTTGTCTCTGTGTGTGGGTGTGTGGGTGTGTTTGTGTCTGTCTGACTCTGTGTGTCTGCGTATGGCAGTGAAAGTAGCTCTTGTGGCCATGTATGATTTTCCCTGATATGATTATGTACTTCCCGCTTTCTGTGCTCCTTTGTGCCACTGTGTACTCGTTGAAGCAATAAAATCTTACGACCTGGCCGCACATATTTGAATATGCTTTTTGGTGTTTTTTGTCTACCATTTACACGTCCTCTTTCTCTCTCTCTCTTTCTGCTTATGTTCTCCTCAGATCCTGTCTTCCTGTCTATTTGTTTACTGTTTACACGTGCACATCTAAGCGGAAATTTCTGACATCGTTGCAAATAAATTAATTCATTATTATTTCCTTCTTGGTATTCCTATTTACAGATACAATCCTAGACTTTCATTTTTTGGTTGCTTAGCATGTACAACGCGTCGTATGCGTGATATGCCTTTAATTGGAATTTACTGTGACCAGCTTTTCGTATTTATTTGCTGTATTGTACACACAGTACGCCAGCTGGAAACTTCCTGGAATGGCACCCTGTGTCGAAAATATTCGTAGAATTATTTAATGCTGGTATGCTGAATATATGTATGTCAATTTTGTTTACTAAAAATGTACACAAAATATAAAAGAAATGTTTTGGTGCATACTTTTTTTATTATTAATAATCTAATATGCCATGAATCAAACATTTGCGTCTGACTTTTCTTTTCTTAAAAAAAATAGAATAGTCTGCCTTTATTTTTTAGATGAAAAAAATTATATTCCGTATTTAATTTAACTTTTTTTATTCCTTTTCTCATTGGCTTCGTTTTTTATATGGCAGAAATTTTCAATTACTACCACTATCATTTTGCAGTCACAATTTATGGCTTCATTAAATTTCACATTGCTGGTGAGAGAGAAAATTCGCCAGGGACTTCATTTTTATCCTTCTTGAGGCCAGTACTCGTTGCTTGGCTGTATGAAATGGTGTCCCCTTGTGTGGCCATGGAGGGGCACACTGCTTCAGCTTCAGCTTTTGTAAGCCATGGCAAAATCAATTTGCTGTTGTGGGAGGGTCACTATGAATGGACCTGGTCCGAACCTTCGTTCTACTTTCCACAGAACCAAACAGACACACATACACACATACACAAACACCCACACGCATTGACCCACAATTTCCGTATTGTATTCAATAGCATTTTCTTGTTATCTGACGCCGGAGCGTATATAGTACTTGCAATTTGATTTTAATTTTATTTAAAATGCTTTTTAGACATGTGGTAGGGCCACTCCTCAATCCCCCACCCGACCACCCAGCCACTCCAAAGCCAATGAAGCTTAATGCTTTTGTGGGGCAGTTTGCGTTTTGTTTATTGTGTAGTTTTCCACTGGCAGCGCCTCGCGTCATTGTTCGACTTGAAAGCCAAGTTTCTGCCCATAATGGCAAACAAAGTTATGAAGAGTCAAAGTTGAGTGTTAAATGGAATTAAATGGGAGACCAGGGACATGGCTGAACGTGAATATACACCACCTTTAAATGGAGTATACACTTTCAGAGGGTACTTTTATTTCAATCAGACATTTGCAATGGATCAAAGGAAAAACTAATTGCTAAATGTGGATTAAAATTTGCACTTTGCACTCTTCATTTATTTTTGCAAGCGAGATGATTGACCATATCACATTTGCTTGTCAAAGGTCTCCAAGGGCATCCAAACCAAGAGGTGTCTTACCCACTGATTTTCATATGTCTGTATTTGCCTTTGCCTTTGCTTTTTGCGCTGAAGTTTTGTCCCTGACCAAAAGCAACTTCAATTAAGATCCACAAGCGCGAAGGCGGGTAGGACGCAGGGTGTAGGGATAAAAGCTGGAATGTCAACAAGGTTTGATGACAATTTTAAAGCGCATAAAGGTCGTAAAAAAACACACACACACACCACCAAACATACACGGAATGCACGAATGCTTGTACACGTACACGTACATATATACATACATATATATATATTGTTATGTATATGCTGAGCAGCTCAGATCCATATAAACCACAGGCTCAATTTGGCGCTGCCCTCGCACTTTTGATTACCAGTTTTTATTTCCATCAAGGATAACATCATAAAAATCGCATCATTTTTTTCAATTACAATGCTGAAATGCTTCTTCAAACATAAAAACATTTTTGTGTGCTCCCCCGCGCTGACATTCTGGCGTTGTGGCACTCTGCAGTTCTGGAGTTCTGGATTTCCTTTCACATAGTTAGGCGAATGTGTCACAGACAATAAACCGCTAAACAAGTCACTGTGGAGGGTAATTTTATGGGGCGGGAAGGGAAAGTCGGAGTATGAATTGAAGGAAAACTACATAAGGAAAGGCAAAAGGACAATGGTTGGGTGTCTGCCTAATGCATAAATACAAATTAGTTCCGCTGATGGTCACGTCGCGATATTGTCCGTCAGGAATGATGTTAATTTATGGCACAGGCTCAGCCTGAGCCTTAGGGTCCAGGGTCATAAAGTGAAACGGAGGATGGTTCATGGTTCGAGGGGAATTCATGCATTTAAATTTCGATGAAATGCCGCGAGTTTTTTTGCGCTTGGTTTAGTGATGGGGCAAAGGCAAATCCTCCTGTTAGTATGCAAATGTGTGTGGAGTGGCGGGAAGCTTACGACAATCCAGCTCGTCGGACCTGTCCCGACAATCGAAGTCACCATCGCACAGCCAACCGCGTGGTACACACTGCTCCATATTCTTGCACCTCACCTCATTGGGCTGGCACATATTCACTGCTCTCACATCAAAATTCAGGGGAAATCATTGGATTAACTCAGGAATCACTTTGGGAAAAGTTATCTAAGTCTACGACTAGGGATAATACTTACTGCAAAGTGTGGTGACCTCGTCGGAACCATCGGTACAGTCAGCCTCATTATCGCAGACCCATTTCTGTGGAATGCAATTGCCATTGCCACAGCGGAATTGGTCTGCGCTGCAAGTCGATTCTGCAACAACAAAAATACATACATACATACATATATATTAAAAATCAATTTTCAATAACTGCGACAGATAATGGTAATGGTGTATATGTCGCACTTGTTATGCTTGAATAGGTAACTGTGCCAAAAATAAATGTGATTTCAGTTTCCTTTTGCCTTTCTCTTTGTTTTATGGTTTCCCCTATTTTATGGTTATTTTATTTTACGTCTTTGCAAGACCAGAAAATGTATTTAAAAGGCCTCACAAACTATTCCATTCTTTTTCTTTCCGGAAAGGAAAACAATTTGTTGCAGGCCTGAGTGATTGAAATGCAATTAGAAGATAAATGAGAATTTTCTGATCAAGTTGGACATGCAATGAAGGTGTTGCAAAAGCCATTCAAGGTGTCAGGATACATCAAGATAATTGTTCAAAAATATTCATTGAATTGCAACAAAAATTCATTTTAAATTTGTGAATTCTTTAACCTAAATTTTCCTTGCGAATTTCCTCTGCTTCGTGCAACGCTGCACCTTTTGTGAGCCACGCTCAAGTGCAGACAATTTAGCGCTTAATTCAAACGAATTCCTCTGAAAGACATTTGCATTTCATTTGTCGACGCTTTAAGAAACGAAGTCACAGTCCCTCCCGACATCTCCACACGGTTCAAAGTTTTCTCCAGACTCCAGACTTCCCCATAAACTTCAGCGCAACTTTTGTGGCAGTTCGTTCCTCCAACCTCCACCATTCTCACAAAACACAAACTGTAACCCGAAAGCCAAAGCCAAAGAGCCCCAACCAAAGCCAAAGCCAAAACCAAACCCGAGGGAGGCAGACGGAGCCGCCGCCGCAGTGCGAAAAATGCGCATCACGTTCTGCGTTCGGGGACTTGGGAAATACCGAAATGGGGGAAAACGTTCCACAGCGTACTATTTACCTAGACAGCCAGCATTTAGCACAAGAAAAAGAAATAAAACGCGAAACAAAACTATAGTTTATATTTCGACTATGGGATACCGACAACTCATTTTAAATTATTATTAAAATAAGTAAATGAAATGAAAAATGTGCCCTTTGGAATGATGGTTTATATCGTGGTGTTTCTTTATTCTGACTTTAATTATTATCTGATATCGGAGACTGTCATTGAATGGGTAGATCCATATTTTATATTATAAATAAAAAAATGTCGATAGAAATCAAATGTCCGTCAACTATCAAATATCTTCAGAAATATAATACACTCCTGCTCTCTACCATGGCTGGGTAACCAAGCGGCTGATACTGCCTTGTTCTGCTATTCGCTGGTGTTAATCACTAGCCTTCACCAGCAGCAAGTCGAATGCAATATAATTTTTATAATCACATTTCTGCTGTGGCTAACTTTGATTACATCCAAGAGATGTCGCTGTTTGACACCGTACTGGTATATATATAGTTCTCTGAAATTCCAGCTCATATCAACAGAAGTTCAATGTCAGCTTTCGTTTCATATACAGCGAATTATTTATTTATGACTTAATGGTCTGACAGCTGGAAAGAAACCAAAAGAGCGAGGACATTTTTCCCTCAGCTTACATAATGCATAAACAAACAGACTTCAGTGGCAATCTGCTCTGCGTTTCTATTACTTTTCTTTATGTAGCTCATAAATTTCGCTCATGAGACGAGTATTTGTGCAACAATTTCTACATACCCGAATTTATATACCCGTATATATATATATATATACGTATATAATATATATTTTTTGTGCCTAAAAGCTCTTTTTGCAGCTGCTTTGGCACTTGCCACCCAGAGGCAGAGATGCAAACTTCATTATTTACAGTCTGCCGCGTCGCGACAACATTCGAGGTGGAAAATGGAAGCAGCAGCAGAAGCAGCAGCAGCAGCAGGAGGCGGAAGAGCTCTAGCTCTAGAGAATGGAGTGGCACGGACTGGGAACAGGCAGACGCTTGCGATTATGCAATTCATTTAAAGTGCTTTGTCGCCAGGGGGATCTACACAGTAGTCCCCGGACACCTTTTGCTGGCGATAATGAATGTGTACCACCCCCCGCTCCACACAGCAGATGGCAAAAGGTGGATCGGATGTGTGCGCAGTGCATTGCCTTGATTTGAGGGGTTATCACTAAATGATTCGACACCCGCCCCAAGGCTGCCGACAGCAAAAGTGACAAAGTCATCCTCCCTCCCTCCCTCCCTCCACCTCTTGAGCAAATACAGGGTAAACTTTTCGCCAGAGCCTCAACAAAGTTTTCGGGGAACAATGCAATTCCCCGCTGTACTATCGAACCCAACCCCCGCTCCCCCTGGGTAGGTCGGCAGCTCGTCCCCGAGCTCATTTACAGGCTAAAAGCTTAGTGCTAGAAAAAGTTGTCTTGTCTTCCTACCAGAAGTGTCCAAAGGTAAGAATGTGTACGGGAAAGTTTTCTGCGGTCATTCATCGATTTGGCGCATTAAAACTTTTGTGATATTTGCCATTTTACAATCTTCTTTTGCTTCGGTCCCTTCTAGGCTTTCCGTTGGTCTGATATACACATTCTGTTCAATTAGGGTTAACATTTGTATGTCTCTCATGGTTTGTGGCGAGTTCGCAGTAAAAGTACATTCCTAGCCTAACTTTTCGTAATGAATTTTTTAATAATTTCTAAATGAAATATTTCAAAAAGCCTCCAGCTAAAAGAAGGCAAAGCCAAAACGAAAATAAAAATAAAAAGAAATGAAATAAAATATATCGGATTTTATTGATTTTTGACTCTTGTTTGCGTGGGTTGTTCGAGAGGGCCACCACCTCTCCTAATGAAGTTTGTCTGTCATTTTGAGCATAAATTGAATTGTCCGATTCACTTAAACAGGCGGAAGGAAACGAGCGGCGAGGGAAGCGAATTTCACTTTTGGTGGCGGACAAGACACTACATTCTTCTTCCTCTTCATTCGGACCCTCATCTCACAGCTTTTCCTCCTTTTTTTTTGTGTGTGTCTCGTCTCAATAAATAAATGAAAAATTTGTGCCACAGTTGAGGGGGATTTTCCTTTTTTCATTGTTTACAATTGTTTTCCCTCTTTTATTTATTCTGTACTTTTTTTGTTGTTGTTTTGTATGCGTTCTTGTTTAGAGAAGTATCTCTTCCGCACACAGCGGGTTGCACGAGTATCATAAAAAAAGGCTCGCCGCTTGTTGTTTATGGCACCTTTTTCCACTTTATTGAAGCCGTACCGTCTCCACCGAATTGCTGTTATGTCCCAGTGCCTCCTTGGGGGGGGGGGAGTATTTCAATATAGAATGAGATGAGGGTTTGTGTTTCCTGAGGGTCTGTGGGTCTGGGGGGGCTCTGCATCATAAATCATTTAAAGAGCAGGCCAACGGCGACTGAAATGGAGCAGCAATTGAGGGTCCCTCTAATGAGGGACGAACTTTTATGTTCCCTTTTTTTGTTTTGTTTTTGGATACAACAACAATTGTTGCTGTCGTCTGCTGTAGAGTGCAACAAATGGCCGCGAAAGTCTACCATTGGAATTGCATTTCAAATGTTTGCCAATTTATATGTTTGGCAAACTTATTTTGGGGGCGAAGTGGAGCCATGAAATATTTTAAAAGTAGAAGCCACTTCGATGGATTGCCTCGCTTAAAACTGTGAGAGATACATAATCTATGGCGTACAGAGAGAGGGACAAGGACAAGGACATGGCCGGTGCCGGTGCCAGTGGCAGTGGCATGGATGTGTGACTGAAGTTATCTAAGGTCTGCCAGTCGACGATGCTTACACAACCCCCAAAAAAAAATATATGTGCAGCTGTAAGTATATAGAATTGTGAGCTCTTCTTTCGTTTCTTTTTTTAGACTTTTTGCACACTTTCTGTGCGGCAGGCTTATCAGCTGTCTGCTGCTCACTCCCCACGAATGTGCTGCATGAATATTTATGCGCTCGATATCGAACACTAGCATACACCATAAAGCCCATATATATATCGTATGTATAAGTACGATTTATATATAGAAATGAGTATGCCGCACATGGGGTAAAAGCTGCTTAAAAGTCTGACAGCGTCTCTGGCGCTGTCCCTGTTACTGTCTCTGTCCCTGTTCCTGTCGCCGCTGCCTTTTGTCTCTTGGTTGTTTACGCGGCGAATGCGCAACGCGCGGCCTGGATGGAGGGCACTAACGTAGCTCTATGGCTGAGCTGCCTCTGCCTTTCCATTGCCTGTATCTCTCTGTGCTGCTCTTAGCTTTGCTCTGTTGTTAATGGCCATGCTTCGTTTAGTTGCCTATAAGTTATTTATTTATTTACTGACTTTTTCGCTCTCTTGGCTATCAATAGGAAATTATTTTGCTTTTGTCAAAGACTTGAATTGACTTTCCGCCCATATCCATATCGTTATACGTATATACCCTCCCCTGCGACCACGCCTATACATATACAGCACAGACAATAACAGTAAATTGAAATACACTTGAAGCGGTTAATGTGCTCGGATTGTACGTCTTATCTACAAAATTCCTCAGGAAATCAGTTTCGTCTCTGTGTGTTTCCATCTACTCGAACTCGTGCTCGTTTTATACAGAAGGCAGAATAATTTTTAGTATTTGGATATCCAAAACAAATTTCATCAGAGTAAACAAAGAAATAAAACAGTGGAATGTTCATCATAGAAATAATTGTTTGATAATTTCTATTTTCAAGTTTATCAAGTCAAAAAGTAGTGCGAATAATTGAATATTTATGTTTAGATTAAATACATTAAAATAGAGTTGATTATTTGAATGAATATTTTATAATTCAATTAAGAAAATTTCAATTATTATGACACATAATAAATTGGGAAGCTGCAGAATAAGTATTGCGGGATTTGCTTTGCATTTCGCAGAAGAAAATTTGAATACTATTGCATTTCCCAAAGTATTTTGTTCCGAACAAAAGAACATGCCAAGGCATTTAAAATATCTCTGTTTTAATGATTTAGTCTTAAAATTTTTTATTTAGAGCAAAGCTTTGGCTAAGCAGCTTTTCCAGATTTTCAGCTTGATAATCTTACTAATCAGACTGTGAATGCTTAGATTTCTAGGGAATTATCATCTCCATTGCCATTCTCATATTCCACTCCCGCCCCATTGTCATACCCGTTGCGCTGCCAGTGATTGTCGCCGGTTGGAGCTGTGCTCGCGGTAATAATCCGGTGATGAGCAGCAGGAGGGAGCAGCTCAGGAAGCTGCTGCGTATTGGTCCCATGTTGGTTCTTTCGTTGTTTTTTGTTGTTGTGGATCCCCTGCTATATGGTAATATGATAATGTTCTAGCCTAAGTGCACGGCTGAATTATTAAATTAAATCACTGTTGTCTCTGTTCGGAGAGTAATCGTAATTGTAATTATTTTAAATGGCAGTCAAGTGGTTGGCCAGCAAAAACATATAACATCATCATCAAAATCATAATCAGAGAATCCTCTGTAGCAGCAGCAGCAGCAGCAGCAGAAGAAGCTCAAAAGTAGGCAACGCTTTTTCGATCATCCATGAAGTCAAAATGTGTGGGCGCGAAAATTTCATATTAATTTTACAGTGCACTAATGTCGGTAATATTAATGTATTTTCCACATTTACATTGAATTTATGTGCAGTATATATGATTATAATTAATTTTTTGTATTTCTTTATGGATATTTCTTTCTTATACTTTATCAGTTTTCAGTTTTTGTTATAATTTGCTCTTATTTTTCGTATTCATCTCTTTTATAGGTTTAATTTTTGAAATATTTTTGCGAATAATGTCCGCATTTCCTTCTTTTCTTTCTGTTTGAATACTTAATTATTTTTTATTAAATGCTCTCTTTGTTTCCGGCGCGTGATTGAGATATTTCTTTGTTTGCACATTTTCATTCCTCGTGTTTTATGCTTTAATTAAGCCACGGTTTTTCCTGTGTGTTTTTTTTTATATGAATAATTATTAATGGGCTTTCTCTATCAGAAAGTTTCCATAATCCTCATATGGAAAATGTTAAATGGTGTTTTAAGTCTGTGAGAGACAGTGGCAAGAGAAAAACCCCCTTGACTATTTACATTTAATTGTAGTTTTTGCACTTTGACATGTCAACAGGATTTATGGGAATTTTAAATGAAAATTCATAAATGTAATTAACAATTATAACGGATTTATGCACTCGAGGGACACTACAGGACATCACAGGACAGGTGTGAACATTAACTGGGATTTGCTGTGGCCATGGTTTTGCTGTGGCAATGTAATTCAAAACGCTCCTCAAGTGGCAGAAACTCTTGCCGCTAGTGACTGGTGTTTGGTGTCAAGTTCATGTAATCCAATCCAAAACAAAAGCGGGGACTTTTCCCCGCAAAATCAAATCCAAATTATGCCAGGCAGGCCATAAAGAGCACAGCTAAGAGAGACACACAGAGAAGATCAGATGAGTGCAGACAGAGAGTGGGACTGGGAAACTGTAATCAAAAGCGACGCGCAGAAGCGTGAAAAAAAAACTTAAAAACGGAAAAGCCAAAACACACAGGAAAAGCTTCCGCTTGGGAGGGGGTGGAAAAGCTGCTGCTGCTGCTTGATGCTTGGATGCTGCCGCCTGTGCGACGCCAACAAAAACTAACGGGTTTCAGTTTGTCTTCTAACGTTTGACTGCCAAAATTGGCCTTGCCATTGATTTTTGCTGGCCAATAACAGCTGTGCACCTAAAATATATTTTATTTATTTGTTGGATAATTTTGCAAATATATCAGAATATTTGCTAATGCATTTTTAGAATATTTTAAAAACTTTACACTTGTCACTTTTTGTCGAAATTTGTGTTTTTTATACGATTTGGCTTGGTTCAAAATAATTTATTTTTGGCGCCTTGCGCGCTTTTGTTCTCGCAGTTATCCTGACAGAACCAAACACACACGTCCTCTTCTGCACAGAGTTCGAAACTAACTGAGTTCTGGCCCCGTGCCTTTGGTGGAAAATCTGACAAGATGGAACCGACAGAAGTAGTGGCATCCACATCCACAACTCTGAGCAGCATCCCCCGAGCATGAAGCTTGCGCTCGGAATTTTGATAAGAGTTGCACTCAAATTGGTGGTCCACACTCAAAGCTTATTCACACTCAAAACGGAGTGAGTACTGGTCTGAGCCAGTCTGAGTGAGTGATAGGGAGAGACTATGCTCGGAGGAAACCCCCATGTGCCATGTTATCTCCGGGTACAATTTGTGCGCAATTAGATTTCGATTTGTCAAAACAAATCAAAATCCCCAACTAAGCAAAAAGTCTCTAGTATTAATAGGCTGTTCTTTATAATAATAATTAATCTGAAGTGCTAGAAGTGGCGGCCCGTTAATGTGGGGCGACGACGCATACGTACATCAGTTTTTTTTTTTTTTGATTTTTTTTGTGTCGTAAATCAGACTAACAACAGAAATCGGTTGATAAGGCTTGCTTGCCCTAGTCTCTAGCCTCTTGCTCAGTTCCGGCTGAATCTTGTCAGCTCCTTCTCTCCGCCGATTGTGGGTCAAGTTTAAGCCGATTCTCCCTCGCATGCGTCTTGTGTGCGACGCAATTCTTAAGAATTACGTACAGTCTACAGTCCATTCCTAATTTTTGCCCGCTTTCTAAGTCGCAATTGTTTAGCTCAATTTTCAATGCACTTTCTGTTAGAGCTAAGCTAAAGATTAAGTACTAGTACTTCCACAGAAGTATAGGGACTTTTTCCACTTTCGAAAATGATAACAGACAATTCTTGGGAATAGCATTTAATGATATTTGTATACTATGTTTTAAGTTGTTTCCCAGTTTTCCACCGAAAAATATAATTTCAATTATTAATTCGCAGAAAATAGTGTAATATTTTATATGTACTATTTATCACTTATACATATATTTATTTGATAATGTAAAAAATATTTGAAAGTATTTAAACTATTTTTGAGAATTCGATTTTAAGCGATATTAGCAATTAAAAGGGTAAACAAATTAAAGAATGCACCAATCAGACACCTTTTGTTGAGCTGCTAGCCATTTCTGTCTCCTAAAGTCTCCTTTTGTGACATTATTTGATTTCTAAAACGAGATTATTTTGTTTGCAGAGCTTTCGACAATTGTCCAATTAATCAACTTCACTGAGCACTTTTGTTTCGTTGAGCATTTAAGTAGATGCCTTGAGTGTTTTGACTGGCGCTTGCAGTGGCCCCTAAATAAGACTCAGGCGCCAGCTTCAGCATCAGCTTCGGTTGTTTGTTGGTAATTTAGCAAGCTTAAGTCCGCTTACGCCTGCAGACACATGCCATTTATGTGTATGTAATTGTGGTGCAGCTGAGTGCTGGGTGTCAAATGGGTTCAACAGCGGGAAATGTTTAAAGATTAAACCCAACAGACACACGCTCACCCAAAGCGTGGCCCAATATTTGCGACTGGCAGTGTTTTTCAGGCGGCCTCCCCAAACGGGGCAATATTTGTGACTGGCAGTGGTTTTTAGGCAAACGCCCAAAAGCAGGCAATGTTCAATTTGTGAGCGAGTGGAGAGCGCCGCACGGTGACTGGTCTGTAAACCAAACTAAAATTAAATGGGATAATAAAAAAACAAGCGCACACGCTCACACTTAACAGCTACTAACAAACACACACACACACATACACCAACAGATGAGCGTAAAAATTAAATGAAAATAAATTTAACAGTGGCAACAGTAGCACTAGAGTGGGGTCATAGACATCCAGCGTTCAGGAGTCCAGGAGTCCATGGGTCCAGGGGTTTTGAGGCGGCACTGCCTACATGACACTAAATAAACAGCCAGTTGTTACTTACTCAACAACGAAGCCAAACACATGGCAGAAACACCAAAACCAATACAAAAGCAAATAGCACTGACGCCCAAACTACGTATAAAAAGAGCGATGGTAGGTTGGTACGGGGGGACAAACCTGAAGTAAATGGTTAGTTCTGTGACATTTCTAAATTGAAAAACTACAAATGACTGACAACAGATTAGAGTGAGAGGGCTCTCACGTAGGATGTTGGCAACAGCTGCATCCTTACTCGTAAATCCAAATCCCCATCCAATGCTTGACTTTATAAGGTCCACCAAGTGGGATTAAGAGTGGGATCGCCTTGGCCATGGCCGCCCAACACACATAAAACAGAAACAGCAACAGAAAAAATTGGCGCTGGCAAAACTTTCTTTCAAAAAGCATCAGCAAATACATAGTACAAAAGCCCCAGATAACTCTTGAAAATGCAATCTTTTTTTTTTGGTTTAGGTGCTTCTGATTTTCGGGGGTGGCCTTTGAATTCTTTGAGGTGGGCGGTGGTCTGCCGTGCAACCTTTGGCGAGAGAGTATTTGAATAAGACAACAGTTGAAGTGAAAGCCTAATCAAAAGTACAGAGAGAGAGAGAGAGAGAGTGGGAAGAAAGGATGGAGAAATCTGTAAAAGCAAAGACCAAGCTCTTTTGAATTTCGGTTTATTTATTGATACGCAAGCGAGTTACTAAACAACAAGTACTCTGCAGAGAAATAGCAGCACAAATGCATCAATTCAAAAAACTACGAGTAAAATCAGTAAATTCCTCAATTTCTAGCTAGCAATTTCCAGGATTCAAATGAAGCGGGAAACCATAAAGACAAATTTGATTCCTCTAGGTCACATAACCTCTGAGATTCAGAGAGTTTAACGGGTGTTGAAGCTATGCATAAAGTTAGCTTTGACTCACCTATGAACTTGCACTGCTCAAGTCGCTCATCGCTGTGGTCCGGACAGTCAGAGCTGCCATCGCATACAAATCTGATGGGTATACAGTCTCCACTGGCGCATTGGAATTGCTTCTCCTCGCAATAGTTGGGTATGCTTTGAGCTGGAAAATCAAATGCATATTAATTAATTAAGTTGAAATCTTTGGGCTAGCCGCTGAAGACTATAATTAAACACCCACAGGAGATGGAAGATGGGTCCAAGGAGGCCAAGAGACCATTGGTGGGAGCCTAATAAAATTCATAACTAAAATTTAAGTTGAAAACTTTGGATCGTTAAGCACAAACACCAAAACACACACACACACACGACACACATAAAGCGTGAGAGTAGGCAAAGGCATCCTATACTGTTGACAAGGCTTAAAACCCTTTTTAATGAAAGCCAAAACTTGACAATACACAAAAACTTGTAAATAATGAAAACCGAGTGAAGGGGCGAGGATTACATATGTATGTCTGGGCCTCCTGGGCCGTCTGGGTTGCCTTTCTGTGTGTTTTGTGGTGGACCGCAATGGGATATATGTAAACGAGTGACGGAAAGTTTTTGGGAGAATTAATAAGCGAGAATTTGATGTGCGAAATAGTTTCCCACTTCCCACTGCCCATTTCCATTTAAATAGAATTCAAAGGGTTTCCAGAAGTGTTGGATTGTGTTGGATTGCTTCATCAATCGTTTTATGGGCCACTTGACATTTCACTCACCCACTGTCCCACTTCCTCGGTCCCTCTCTTTCTGTTTGTCTATTTCAATGTCTCTTTCCCGCTGTCTGTATCTCAATTAGCATACAATATGCTAAAGCAAACTGACTTTCGGTTAATGTGCTGCGATTATGCTAAAAGTGTTCCATGTTTGAGCTACAACGGAGAGCAGTGCTATGCAGTGTTTGGGTGTATGGGAATAAGGTCTATCCATGTGCCATTTACCGCTTACCGTTTAATTGCGCACATTTAACTCAAATTGACAATTGCTTAGGCAGCAACAGCAGCAGCAGCAACAGCAGCAGGAACAGCGTCAGAGCACTATAAACACGGGGGCACACCCCCAAAGGCTTGCGCATGCATACGAGAGGCATTGACACACACGCATTTAATTATACGATATAAGCTGTAGAGTATTCCGACTAGAAGATATTCTATATACTTGGGCATATTTTGTTTACTTTGGGTTGGGAAAATCAGTGGCTAGGAAATACTTTCAAGTAAAATATCATTTGATTTGCAACAAGTCTGGGTGCTCAGCCTCTTTTAGTCTACCCCTATAGGGTAGACCTATAGCATTCTATAATACAACTGGGTACAATTCAGAGACATGTCATGCATTGCATTGCCCTCTGCAGACAGCAGACAACACACATTTGATGTTCTCTTCATTATCATGGGAAATTTGGTGCATGCTTCGCATCGTTTTTGCTTAAATTTTTCATTGAAACATACATACATATGTACATAAACATATATGCATCTTTCATTTCTCCTCTCTGTTCTTATTTCTCCTCTCTGCACTTTGCATTCTCCTTATGCATGCATGTGCATATTTATTTACCTAGATATATTCCACCTCCTGTGCGCGCTCCTGCCCCTCCTCTTTTGTATTTCATTCTCTTCTGTGAGCTGCAGATTTTTTATTAGTCTTCCCCGTAAATTATTAAAAATGTGCGCAAACATTTTGCATTTATGAAAAAGAGTTTTGTTTGCTCCCTGTGCCATTTAGAGGGCGGATTCATTCCCATATGAGAATGAAGGTTTAACTGAGAGAGATCAGAAATTGCACTTTCATTCTTCGACAAATCTCCCTGTACATGAATGCGAATGCAATTTGCATTTTAAGTGAGTCGTTTAGTTGCCTAATTGAAATAAATATTAAAAGCAAATTCCCCATAAAATCCATTTAAAATCTGAGATATATTCCGGCACATAAATTATACATTTCCATTTGCATTTTCTGGCAGACATCACTTCTGACTCTGAAAATTGGTTAATGGGAATATACAAATTATTTTTCTTGATTTATTATAACATTTAAATATTTTTATGAAAAAGTGAATTTTATTTGTATCACATTCAATACGTAAGCACCATTCGTTATGTTTATTTTGAAAAATAAATAAAGGAAAGCTGCTCTTGAAAGTGTTAAAAGTATTTGTGGATCCTGGGTATTTACAAAATCTATTTAAAATTGATTGAGTACTTTTCAATGTTACTTAGTGCACTTTTTTACATTTCTGCACATTTATTTTACAAAAAACATTTACCATAATTTTAAACCACATCCACAGAAATAACTCTCATTTGATGTTCCACATCATACGAGTATAAACACACTGCATTGCGCTTTGATTGTAGTATTAATAATTCCCTATAATTCCCTATTGGCATCATCATTTACATTTCAAGGTATTATTTATTTTCTGCAGCGTTTTCCCTCTGCCAGCAATTTAATACAAATTAAATCAGTCGAGCAATAATTTGTGGTGTTGTTCACACAGACCACAGGCACCACGGCCTCCGACAGCAGCAATAGCCGCCAATTTGATTGACAGAATCACAAATGCCGGCCAGAACAGTTCAGAGCTCGAGCAGTACCGGAGGCAGCGGGCCAATTAAATGCTTAATGCGAAGTTCATTGAACAGTTTTATTTTACTTTATTTCGCCATCGTCCAGAAATCAATCACAGGGCTGCGAGGCCATGTGCCTATGAGAAGAAAATGGAGCTGGTCAAGAGTATTTCACATGAAAATTTCGCACCATTAATTCAATGACAGAATGGGGATGGAGATGGTTACTGGGGGATGGTTGGCCAAGAGGGCGAAATAATAAACAGAAATCAGTGCAAAAGTCAATCAAAGTTCAAATCAATATAAATGCTTTATTAATAGCACGAAAGGTTGCCCAAGTTGATTTCTCTCCCTTTGATTCCATTACATTCTCCTTCATATTTGATGATTAATCAATTATTTGTTTTTCTGGTTAAAGATTATGGTAAATAGCTATGGAAAATTACGCAAATTATTAAAAAATGTTGCAAGAGTTTGTGTATGTAGATAATGGATAGATGGCAAAGGAAAACAACAAACAGTATTGTGAGAACTTTGCACTTATCAATCAGGCGTTCCGATGACTTTTGATAACAATATGATGCATTCGCTAAAAAGGGACTTTATCATTCTGGTATTGCCCATGACTAAAAAAGATTTGTAGACTCATGGTTTCCATTTAAGAGGCTCTCGGTATTCCAGAGCTCTGCGATGGATTCAAGTTCTGGTTCAAAGATACGAGTACTAGTACTTTGGAAAACTTCAAAAGGTTTTCATCCAACCTCTAAAGTTTACCACAAATCATTATGTAATCTATATATCAATCTGCGTAGTTTCTGCTTATCTGATCCTTCACCTAATGTATATGTATGTGCCAATGTATATATCTTGTATACAGTAGTCGATTTTGTTTTTCTTTTTGGTTAGCGCCTCGTGGGCCACTTTAGATAATACAGATAGTTGTTGGCTGCCAATAAACATTATCAGTAATGTGAGTGCTACGATTTGGCAGACCTAATCAAGGCTGCTACGTAATGCTATAGTTTTAATAATTTCAGAATAGATTTTGGCTTAGTCATAAATATTTGGCCATTTTATGCGGAAGAATGGATTTGCTTATCAAAATAGGACCTTGGAATTTAAAAAATGTTGCTGAATCAAGTTTAACTAGTTATTTCTCTTTACATTGTTGTTCAATGTTTTCATACCCTTAGCTTTATCGCAGCTTTATCTTAAAACTAGAATAATTTCGTGTGATTTTACCCCTTTTTATCATTGTGCGCGATAAGAGCATTTCAGTAGATAAAATAACTTTTGCAATTACGATAAGGAAAAAAAAATCAACAAATAATAATTGTATAATCATGTGAACATTGCGCTTTGAACCGTGTATTTGGATACGAGAATTCGTTGAGACACGTTTAAGGAGAACGCGCATTCGTTCGCTCAGGTTATTATCAAGACCCAATTCGATGCGGCTCGTTGGTAGTTAATTTCATGGAAATTTGCTTAAGAGAGCTAGTTTCAAAATTACTCTTAAGTTTTCGAAAGAGTATCGGATACATTTTGTACACGTTATAGCTTGCCGTCACTTATTTGGAAAAAGGTGGCCTGATCGCTAACGTCATACCATTAACAATGAAATAAACAACAACAATATTCACACATGTTTGTTGATGTTGCTTGGTAGGCGTCAGCCGAATCGAAAGATGACTCAGTTACAAGTATTTTTTTTTCTGCTAATAGTGCATGATTATTGTACCCTAGCAAGGCCTTCTAGAACGTATTACAATTAAATCCAGTTGATTGAAGTGTACAGAAGGGTGGAAAAACATTTTATAAGCCTTGGCTTTCCATTTGTTGAATCTATCGTCAGCTGTGGCATCGCTATAAAAATATTCCATAAGCCAACGAACACATTCGCTACAAATAACACGAGAGATTGATTGAAATCAACCGCGAAATTAAATTGAGTGTATAAGAAGTAAAATACTTATTGTTGTTTACAAAAAATAAACAACTGTTTACTATATTTAGATGTAGTCACCCAAAAGTGGGAGACACATTCAGAATTTCAATTGCTCATATATACATATATCCGAGTGCCGGGTATCCCAGCGTGGGAATAGCGTTCCTACTCGTACTACTCGATATTTTTGCTTGTCATTTCACTGGGAAATCTATATAGGAAAACGTCATCGGTCATTCATTTGTTTAGCTTGTATTATGCATAAGGCTTCCTCAAACGAATTTCTAATGAAATTCTACAATGTCTGTGGGAAATGTATATGGGGTGTCTGGGACATGGGGAATGGAAGGGGGGCTGTGAGCAAGTCTAATTTGCTAGCCAACAAATCACGCCACCTTCGATGAATATTTTGTATTTGCAATTATTTTTTGGCTCGTGCATAGAATTTGCACAACGCAGCGCAGCGCATCGCGGCGTATGCGTAATATTTTAATTGTGACCCAAAATAAAAAAAGAAAAAGAAATTGGGAGTGGAAGAAAGTGGAAAACGTAGATTGACCATTACACCTGCCGCACAGCCTCATATCAGTCTCTTTCTTTTAGCATTGGAATACAGTTAACAAACACAATCATTTCCCTTTGACTGTATTTTGCATGTATCGCTTATGAAATTTGTCACTTGCACACAACGATGAACGTTGAACACTAAACACCAAAGACCGAACACGAGCCTGAACAATTGCAGCGAATTGTTGTTGGTGTGACACTTATTTGGCTTCCATCATTTGCTGAAAGTGGCTTTTGCCTGGGAACCAGTTTATTTGTTTTGTAACAAAAAGCAACAAAAACTAGAGAAAGATTTTACCTCATAATTTTACATAATGGAAAATGCTTTTGTAATTAAGGCCCATGACCATCTACGTATCTGTTGGATGGATGTATCTGAAGTTTTGAGTCCAGAGCACGTTTAAATTCCAAGCATAATTAGCCGAGCTAATTATAAAAGTCTGGACTTAAAAACAGTAGCCCTTGCCGAAGGAACAAACTTGTTTCCATTGAAAATGCGTCAGTCCCTGATCTGGTTCTGGCCCCTGGGGAGGGGGATGCTGCTTCGATGCTGCCAGGTACAGTCATTAAGCTGTCAAGGATGTGCCCAAAACATGTCAAATGTCTCTTCCCGCTGACACTCTTTCTTTCTCTCTCTGCATCTGATTGGATTTTTCTTTGGTTTACTCTAAATTTAGTTGGGAACAATTACCTGGTGTTTTCGAATGTCTTTTTGTGACCTATATCCATCGATTACGACCTGTCTAACCAATCAATTGGCACCTGAGCTCCAGCCAATTTTCTAGCTTTCAATGAAACTCTCAGGGATGTTCATCGGTTCGAGAGCTACAACGAAAATGCATTTCGAGTTCAATTTTTGCGGGCAGACCATCCCCCCAGAGATAGTAGCACAAGTGTTATGCAATAGTTAATAGATGAAACAGATAAAAACTTTTAATGAAACATTTTCAACCTTTAAGCTTTGCATTTTTTTTAACATGACCCAGCATTTATTAATTTGCGTTTTTTTCTGTTTTAACTTTGACATTCGTGTTGGGGCAGACCATAATCGTTTATTTTGTGTGTTTGTCTTCTCTTCTTTTTTTGACAAGTTGAAGGTTTTCGTTTTTGAAAACATAAACAATTAAGTCTTTCGTTTTGTGATGCCCCTACGTGCAACGGATTTCGGTTCAAACTTATCTGCAAAGTATTTCCTAGATTTGTTGATTAATCGGAAGTTTCGATTATTCTTTGGCTTGGTGACCTCTTAAATGGTCTTGGCTTGTGGATATACTAACTTAATCTTAAGCTTCCCTTGCTTCAAGAGGTAATTCCTTAGAAAAAAAAATATTGTTCTAGTAGTTTGAAGTTATTGGTTATATTGGTATCTTACGTTTAAATCAAGTATTTATTAAGAAGAACACGTTTCTTGGCTTTCGAGTGTTTGGACATTAGACCAATTGATACATGATCAATGTCCATCGTTTTGTGGGTTGCCTAGCTGAGTTTAGCAGTAGTTTTATTTAGTTAAGCTTTTGATCAAGTTGTTCTTAAGTAGAACTAAGATAGACAGCGATAAATAGTAGCTTGCAATTCTCGGGTATTTCAATTTGTAGATAAGTCTTTAATGGAACATATTCTTAGCCATCCACGTCTATCATTGATCTTTGATAACGATTCTGGATTTCATTTAGTAATACTAGCCCTCTCATAGCAGTTGCTATTTTAGCCTGTTATTTTTTTTCTATTATAAATTTCTTAATAAATGATATTTCATACGTAACACGTGTGCGTGTCGTTTTTCAAGGGTACTCGTCCCACTGTGCCAAAACACGAAACTCCAAGAAAGCGAACGGTCAAGCAGACACTTGTTGCTCTTTTTTTTTGGATTGCCTTTGCTCATGTTCTCATCTCTGTGTGTGTGGCTCTCTCTCTCTCTCTCCCTCTCTCTGTTAATTTTCAGAAGGGCCGCCGGAGTTGGAGTCTTGAAGTAAGTGGCGCTCGCTCCAGTCGCTCCATGAAACGATGCCGGCCGGTATAAAGCATAAAACGGAATACATAATTACCAAAGCAGAACCCACAGCAAGCAGAAAGAGCGGAGCGATGGAAAAGGCAAGAGCAGAGGAAAGTAAAAGGCTGCTGCTGCTGGACGGAAACACCAGAAAGAAGAGGGAAAAGAAGTTGGGGAGCTGGAAGCTGCGGCTATGTGTAAGAGCCAGTGTAGAGTCTGAAAATCGTATGATGTCGTATGGAATGTCTGTAGCAGCATGAAAATGGCAGTGGAGTTGACTGGCATTGCCAGACGCCTTGGCTTTCGGTTCGCAACAATATTCACATAAATAAATACAACTTGAGCCGCCTCGACCGCGGAGAGTTGGTTGTTGCTAAGAGACGTCTCTCTGGCTCTCGGAGTCGCCAATCGGGAGTTGCAGTCGGAGTCGAAGTCGAGAGTTGGAGCTAAGCCGGTGGCATGATCAACTGAAACACGAGAGTCAGCGGCGGCCGTGGCGGCAACAACAATAAACACACTTTTGGGGTACCGGTACCCATGCACTCGGAGAAAAGAAGATCAGATAAGGCCAAGAATAAAGGGAATGACATTTTCCATTAATTAAGATTATAAACGGAAGGAGGCAGGAATGGGCGAAAGAGAGAGGGAGAGGGAGCTCTATAATTCGAAAGAAAGATATGGTAGAAAACATTTTGATAATATTTGGTTTTTGTATGCAATGGAAAATCGAACATCCACTCCATAGAACTCTAATTACTCGAATTAATCTAATCCATACTCACATATATCCAATGGGGTGCCAATCTTTCCGGAAACATTCAGATACTTGAATGCATTGCCATTGAACACCGAATTGAAAGAGCTGCCAAAATTGGTCATTCCAATGCCGGGACTCAGACTGTTGGCTGCCGCTGGGGCCCAGTGCTTAAGTCGATCCAGTGGTGGCCCCAAAGTGCTAGCCTTAATCTTCTCCAGGAGCGCCGAACCACTTAGATTTTGCATTATCTCGCTGGGACTGGCATTCACGGCGGCGGCACTGCAGAACTTGCTGATGCTCAAAATGTAGGGGATGAAGAGCAGGTGCAGCGTGGAGGTGAAGCTGAAGAAGATCAGCTTTTGCATCCAGCTCTGGTAGTTGGTGCTGCTGCTGAAGAAGAACGCGCTGCTCACGCTGGCCTTGGTGGTGGTGGTCACCGGCGACGGCTCATGGCATGTGTTGTGGGTGGTTGTGCCTTTGCTGTTGCTGCTGCTGCTGCTGCCAGCATAAATATTCTCATTCTCACTGTCGAGTGTTTCTTCAGTTTGAAATCGTTCTGTATAATTGGGCAGGCAAACTGTTGCCATCTCTATTTTAACTGTAACAAAAATTAATAGAAATTCAGGTCAAACACACTTTTCACACAAATTTCCTGCTATTCCCCCTCGCATATACACATGATCTAGATACGAGTATTATGAAATATATATGTTCTCGAAAAATGCGAAACGTTTGCCAAAAAAAAAATGTCCCAAAGAGGAAGTAGATTGAAAGCAGAAAGCGATAGAGAGAGAGAGAAAGAGCACGAAACCCCTTGAATTTGTTCGCAAAATATATCGAAGAAGAGAGTGTGAAGAAAACGCACGATAAACATGCCACAAAAGCCATGACTAAAAAAAGAAACATCATACGATGTTGAAAATAACAGGCATAAGAGAAACAAACATGCATAAAAAACACACTCAAAAAACTGGGGAATTGTGCAAACTAAGGGCGACGACTTGGTTTCGTAGCGGTGAGGGTTATTCACGTAGAACGGTGGGTGGGTGTGGCGGGGGGCAAGGGTTAAACTCCCTGTCTCTCTATCTCTCATTTGGACCATGTCATGCTGCTGTAGTTATTTTTTAAAAACAAAATATGAATCAGATAATTATGGCCGTATGGTTTCCGTTTTATCAGCTCAACAAAATTGTAAGCGATGATAGCTCATCAGGTGGTTAAGCTTTTAAGCGCCCAACATCTGGGGCTTTTTGATTCATAACTTTCTCGGGAAGTGTTCTCTATGCTTTTTTTTTGTGGATTTTGGCAAATGTTTTCCCTCATGTTCTATGGAAATTGTTGTTGCTAAACATTCAGTTATGTTCACATGATGGATTGACGTAACACAGGCGGTTAAAATATATTCATTCGTACATTATCTTTTAATTAACACTGTTGACTGGGAGGAGATGCACAATGTGGAACTGGCTTTTATATTTTTTCTCTTCTTTGAATCACCATTTATTCGCTATTTGCATTGAACTTTTGATTTATTTTTCGTTGCTTTTCTGTTGGCCTAAACTTAATTCGCGTACGAAAATGTGTACGACAGAGCGATTAACCGTTAAATAATATCCGATACAGTGGAGAAAAGACGACAATGCGGCACGCCCGACAAAAAACGACTAAAAAACTGAGAGAATATCGTGGCCAATCGTACTCACCAGCAGCCATCAGTTCAACCTCGGCATGTGTTCGTTCGTCGCACTGCCGCAATAGGCCCACTGTGCGTCGTGTCAAACCGACGATCGCCACGCGTCCAAGACGAGCCGAACGAAGCGAACACACCTGAGCGGTGTGATAAAAAGAGAGAGAGAGAGAGAGGCAGCACGCACAGAGTTGGAGTTTCAACGCTCACCGGTCGGTGCTCTCATTGCAGAGTTTCAGATTCTGCTACAAAGCCATAGAGCTGAACATAAGAGAGAACGCTAAGAAAAAAGTTCGCTAGCGGAAGCCAAAGAGAGCGATACACACCACAGCTGACATTGAAATTTATTGTTATATTTCTACTAACAGCGAGCAGGTGGTTCTTGAAACCGTTTCTCTTAATGATAAAATTTCTCTCTTCAGGCAACGTTCATCAATTGGGGGAATTTGTATATTACGCTTGGAGGTGTGTTCTACTATGATATTTGTCGGTCTAGTCAATTATCGTGATAGGCAATTTGTAAAATTTGTCTGAATAAATTGTTTGTTGGCGTAGGTCAGAGACCAGGGAACCTTGATATACCCACTAATTAATTGGATGTTAGGTATGAATTTAGTTTTATATTACATGTCAAATTTATCGGTGCAATACTGCGAGTATACAAACCTTTATTAGCTTACAATTTCCCGTAGCAACCTTAGCTGAAAGATCAACCCAACCGCAAACAAAAAAAAAAAAATGAAAAGAGAAACATACAATAGACCGATTTTATACTACACATAAGTATCTGAGTTTATTATGTATGTGTCTTTTAGTGGGGGAAACATATACATATATGTATTCTGTATGTACACTTAACAAATACAGTTAACAAAAGGTTAATACGTATATAGTAATAATAGTGATAATAAAACGATTCTGCTCATCGAACGAACACACACAGAAATATAATTTCTCAACTCGCTCTAATAGTACTAGAGATCATGATCACTACGATCATAATCGGCATATGTATGTATGTATACATATGCATATATATATATATATATATATAGTAATATTAATTGGTTTGCTTCTTTTAAAAATAATGCACACTTACAGCTATATACAGTTTGGAACTATTTATGTAATTTATAATTAGCAATTAGATTTCATATTAAACATCTCGATTTGTGTGTATCGATGTTTGTGTGTGTGTTTGTGTGTGTTTACTCTTGTGTGATACTTAGAACTCTGCGACATAGTATTTTTGTACAGCATCCTCTAAGGATGCGCCACCAAGTGACCCGCCGTGTCCTTGCCGTGCCTTAAAATTTTAAAATAATTATTTTACACAATACACAGAGTTGCTCAGTCTTCAGGCGTGTGGTGTGGTGTGTCTTCTGCGGGTCTTCTTCTCGTGTCTGCCTTTTTGGGTGGTATCTCTCAACCAGCCAACCAAACAAAGGAAATATCTAACATTCTCCATTCTAATACGAGGATATGCCTATGACGGGTGAGTACTGCAAGGGAATATATATAAATTAAATATAATAATATATAATAAAGCATGATAATAATTGTATATATAATTTAATTTGAAGTATGGCACATACCTCCTCATCCATGACACTGGTATGATCATAGATGCGCGCTGGCAAATTCTTGCGCAAACTGAAATGATCCTCGGTGGTCGTGGTCTTTCGGTAAATGGGATTCTCAAAGTTCATCGAGTTGATGCGTCGCTTGCTGCAGTAGCGATAGCCAATGAGCAGGAGCTGTCAATCCAAGAAATGTTCAAATGAAAATTCTCCCCCTTTAAGCACTCTCTCTGCTGAACTCACCACCGATAGCAGCACTGCAAAGCCACTGAGACTGGCAATGACAACCAGCGCTATGAAGCCCGAATCTGGCTGCGGACTGGGCACTGTCGTCTGTTCGGTTTGTGTGGTGTTTTTCACTGGATGCTGGTCGGCAACTAAGTATAAAAATGTTTACATTTTGAATTAGAAATAATAGTTAACAAATAATTACGATTGAAAGTAAACCATAAACCGAACACATAAACAGCTTCAAGCAGCTTTAAACAGTAGATAAATTATAAGTTGTTCTTGTTTTATGGGTAGATACATATTCACGTATTATCTCCCTTTTTACCCACCCAATGACAAGACTTAAATGCCCCTTCACCTTTGGCAATGATAAACACAAAAAGACAAAAAAAAAAGGGAATGTATAAAAGTGTAAGGAAAAACGGAAATCATTGCAATAAAAGAACAGAATGAAAGAGGGAATCAACATCAAAATCCAAGCGGCTTTCGGGCCAAGCCTCCGTTCTCAGATCCAAAAGAATTTTCAATCAAATCGTTCAAAGTGCGCATTTAGGCGCAAATAAACACTTAAACGCTCTCGCGCCTTTGATGGCGCAAAACTTTTATGGGGGCGGGGATGAGGCCGAGACCGATTTAGATTGAGAGCGAGCATGGGAATGGGAATGGGAATGGAAATGGCAGTGCCAATGTTAGGGAGTGGAGAAGATGAAGAAGACAGGCAGCGTAATGACATCGTTAACGCGACGCATTTAATGGGATTTTGTCAGCCATTGTGGCGGAGCGGGCGCTGGATGATGGTGCTTCTAGCCGCGCTTAAATCAAGTTGAAACAGTAAAAGTTATCAACATTAGGTTGAAGTTCCCTTTAAGGCCCAGACCATGCACCCTACGCCCACACCCAGTCCACACAGTGGGGAGTAGCCAATATTAACCTCATACTTTGCGGTTAAGTATTGTGTGGGGTCTGGTGGTGGTCGGTGGTTCGATGGGTGGGTGCGTTGGTGTGGCTTGATTGGGGGGCTCTGTTGGAGGTTTCAATTGCATCGTTGGCCCTACATTGGTTGCCTACTTGCGGTGAGGGCTGTGCTCCGATGCAAGTGGCGCACTTCTCGGCTGGCATTTATGAAACTGTCAAGGATGGGGTTGCTCTCCCTCTGATGATGATTAATGTGGGCCATGACAAAGCAAATGTGGTGGGTAGCACCCCTAGAGAGGGGTGAGTGGGGGCAGAGAGGGTGCGGTGCGTTTTCCTGGCCAGAAAGGGATTTTGAGTGCGACTGCTGTGTAGCATTTTGATTAATACGCTTGCAATAAATCTGAATCTCACGAAAGTGTTTATAAACCGTCAAAGACAACCAACCAGACAGGGAAAGTGAGAGAGAGAGAGAAAGAGGGAGTCTGACTGACGGACTGAGACAGAGATGTTGAACTTATAAATTGAGAGGAAGTAACAGGGTTGTCAACCCATAACCCACTATCAAAGTTTCGTTTCCCTGTGAGGCGAATTAATCAAAATTTCCGGTGACAACCCTTCTGATGAAGTTTTTGCTCCTCTGATGCGTAATTTTAAATTTTCAAGTGGAACGAACAGGGACAGGGCATCTTCCAGTTATGTCACAAAAAGAGGTATACATAAATATATTTTTAAACATTTTAAATACTGGCGGAGTAACTGGAAGAACACAAGATGAAGGGACATGATTTTGGAAATATGAGAAGACATTTTGACATTTGTTTTAAAACAAAAGCAAGTGTTTTGTCACAGTTCTGACTCCCAAGAGGCTCTATGCTCCATTTTAAAAGAAATTCTCCACCAATTTCACACACAATAAAATACAACATAGAAAACGGCAGACAACACCAAACAATCACTGATGAAAGGTGAAACACACACGAAAGTAAACAGAGTTAACAGAATATTTTTTGTATGGGAAATCTTTCGCTATGAAGATTGACACAAAATGTACAAAGATGGACACACACATTGAAGGAATACCACGGAATGAGGGACACAAACACACAGCACAGACATCAGGCATGGAGTTGCCAGGCATACCGATTATTCCTTGCCCCGGTGGCAGCTTGGTGCTCAGCGTGGGCTCGCTTTTCGCTTGTCTGTCTGTAAGCCTCGCTGGCAATCGCCTTGGCGAGGTTTTCGTTTTCGGTTTGGTTTTCAGGGCTCGTGGGGGCTTGGTGACGACCACATAAAGGGCTGTCATGCAGTAGCGAATCATGCAAGTCAGATCGGAATGCGGTTAGGATTGGGGTTGGGGATTAATAAGCATAAAATCAAAAGTTAATCCGTTAGCATGCAGGTAGTCAAAATCCAAGGGACTCCTGAGAGTCTTGTTCTACTTACGATCCTCGACGCACATGAGGCCGTCGGCCATCAGCTTGAGGCCCGTGGGACAGGCGCAGGAGATGCGCGGACTGCGCTCGTTGATCCTTGGGGCGGGCAGACACAGGTGGGAGCAGTGGCCATTCACGGACTGGCAGTGGTTGATGCCATCGGGCTGTCGGTACGGATGGTACACATGGATCACCATCGGATGTTGCAACTGTGAAGGACAACAGGGAGTTGAAATGGAGCCTGGAAGAACGAAAAATGGATGGTGCTCACCATGTGAACCGCCGTGATGGGCTCCACATTCTCGCCCGTGAACTTGTTGGCCTTGAAGACGGTCTGCTTGTCCCAGTCGGTCCAGTAGATGTAGTCCTCGAAGGTGGTGATGGAGAAGGGATGCCGCAGGTACTCCGTGGAGTAGAGGATCTGGCGCCGCTGGGAGCCGTCGTAGTTGGCCGACGAGATGACGTTCAGCTTGCCGTCCACCCAGTAGATGCGCTTGCGCACCAGGTCCAGGGTAATGCCGTTGGGCCACTTCACGTCGTAGCTGATGATGGTCGTGCGGTGGGAGCCGTCCATGCCGGCACGCTCGATGCGCGGGGAGGCGCCCCAGTCGGACCAGTACATCCAGCCCTCGATGGGGTCGAGGGCGATCGAGCGCGGTATGTCCAGCGCATCCTCGATGAGCACCTTGCCCATGTTGCCGTCGAAGTTGGTCAGCTCGATGGTGCACTTGTGCGTGTCCGTGTAGTAGACGTGGTTGTAGATCCAGTCCACTGCCAGTCCGTCGGAGGTGACCGTCGACTGCTTCAGCACCGTTGTCTTCTCGTTGCCCTCGTCGATGGGCGCCTTGTAGATGCTCTGCGTCGTCACGTCGCTCCAGAAGATCATCCCCGTGCGGAACACAAAGTCCAGGGCCGTGGCCGACTTGGTGCTGTTCACGATCGACGTCATCTCCATGTGGTCGAGTGCAATCTTTCGGATATCGTGACGTCTCGCCAGCAGCAGTGAGGCATGGCCCTCGCCAGCCTTGCAACGCGTGTGGTTGCGCGGATCCCGCATGTATCCCGCCTCGCATTCGCACTTGAACCCTCCGATCTCGTTGATGCACAGCTGGGAGCAGACGCCCGGGTTCTCGCACTCGTCGATGTCCACACAGGTGCGCTTATCCCCGGATAGCTTGTATCCCTCGTGACATTCGCAGCGGTGACCCACCGCCAGGTCCACACAGTGGTGCATGCAGCCGCCGTTCTTGGAGGCACACTCATTCACGCCGCACTTGCCGGCCGGTTCGTCCTCGCCGTCTGGGCAGTCCTTGCGCTTGTCGCAGACCCGGCTCAGGGCGATGCACTGACCCCCGCCGCAATTGAATTCACTCGTGGCATTGCAGGCGCCTTTGGCGGTGCCCAGGCTCAGGCTGCAGTCCCTCTCGTCGCTGCCGTCGGCACAGTCCTTGTCGCCATTGCAGGTGAGGTGTCCGGCGATGCAGCTGCGATCGCCGCACTGGAACTGGTCCGGGCGGCAGGTCACGTTCTTGCAGTTGGCCGTGTGCTCGTCGTCGCCGTCGGGACAGTCCCGGTCGCCGTCGCAGAGCCAGCTGTGGTGCAGGCAGGTGATGCGATCCTTGCACTGGTACTCATGGGCCAGGCAGGGGGTGTTCGACTTGGTCACATTCGCGCAGGACTAAGGGGGCAGGAGATGCAAATGCAAGAGAGACAGAGACGTGAGACACAGTGTCAGGGCAAAGTTTTCTGTTTGTGGTGTCGGTTTCCCTTGGGGGCAACTTTTGGGCGAAAGTTTTCGTTGCACACAAAATGATGTCCCATGTTGAGTCCTGGCTGGTCCTGGCTGGTCCTGGCGCCTGGCCGCCCAAAAAGAGTCATGCAAAAATGCAATTTTATGCGTGCCATGCGTTGACAACAAAAGCTGCCAAAGCTGCTTTGGGCCCCTGAGTTATGCCCAACTTGGTCGTAATTTATGTGGCTTACAATCCCATTCCATTCCATCCAGAGAAAAAAATATAAAACCGGGGGAATGTAGCAGAAAAACCCATGAATGCCCACGCGGAACAGAAGGAGGAGCAGGAGGAGCTTTTTTATGCGGCACCACACCGAATGTAAATTTATGGCAAAGTATTATTCACTCACCCGCTCATCGGAGGCATCCGAACAGTCCGGATCCCCGTCGCACACCCACCGCTTGGCGATGCATGCCCCATTGGTGCACGTATGCTCGGCCACAGTGTCGCAGGGCACCACCGGACACGCCCGCTCGTCGGAACCATCGCCACAGTCGTCGTCGTGATCGCACACCCATCGCTTCTGGATGCACCGCCCATTGCCGCAGGTGAACTCGTCGGAGCGGCAAGTTTGGTCTAAAGAATTCATAGAATTTCAGCAATTTCAGTCGAAGGCAAAGCAAGTTGCAAACAAATGACAGAAAGGCATCCGACAAGCCAAAAAGGCAAATGAAGTGCGGTCAAGTCGATAGTTAGGAATGAAGTTTGGTTTATGCGAAAAGTATGGGCTTGAAGTTGAGTTGGGTGAGGATAGATGGGTTTAGAGGGGGGTATGAGTGGATTACAGATTTAAATAAAGTGAAAAGTTATTAAACTTACATGCGAGGATTCAAGCGAAATTAAATCTCAACTAAAATGGGATGAACCGAAACTATTACTCTCCAAATAAAGTGAAATCTAACATATAGAACTTTTCAAATCAAACAAAAAAAAAAGGAAGGAAATTCATGGAAAAGTTTAAAGATGAAAGAGTATCCTTACTGCAGTTGTGCTCATCGGAGCCATCGCTGCAGTCCTTGCTTTGGTCACACATCCAGGCCAAAGGTACACACTGCCCCTCGCCACTCTTACAGGCGTACTCATCCGGGGAACAGGTGCGTGCCTCTGTTGTGTTTCCAGTGCGGCAAGCATTCAAATAGAACAGAAATATATAGATAAAGATACTAGATTGAGATGCCATAGCTATAGATTTCCATGGTATACGGATATAACTTTAGTTTTTGCTCAAAAAGCGAACTCTGTACTACTTCTAAATATTTTCCACTCCATTTAAAACTCTACCTAATATCCCTAATATCCCTAAAGATATTCAAATGCATTAATTTATGATAGGAGCTCTGCAAAATAATCTGCTAAATATTCCATCAGCCTTGGGACGTCATTGATGCGTGAAAAGTATCCAATTGCAGGAGTAGCATCTCCCTCTACACTAGCCCATACCCGTTTATAGTTTTACTTTAAACCATGAAGCCAGAACAGGGCCAAAGTTGTCTTCCTGTGCTGGATGTGCACTTGTGTGCTATGTGTGTTCGAGGATTAAGTGAATTTTATGCGCCATTGCCAGGCGGCAGCCAGAGTCAACCCGCGAGCCAGGGCACACGCGTCGTATACTTGTTGTCAAGGGCTTCATGAATGAGTACACAATGCACACACTCGCACACACACAAATAAACAGGGGGGTGTATGTTTGAGCATACACTTACATAAACATACATGTATGTACATACATATATACATACATATGTATGCACACACGAGAAACTCTCACTCTCAATGACTTGATTAAACCTCTAAGGATGAGGCACGAGTACGTGGCGGGGGGGACATTGTTGCGAGAATTATGCAGAACGCCACTCCATTAACAGTGCGTATGAGTTATGCGGCAAGTTGGTTGGTTAGTGAAAGCGATTACATACACACACACATATAGTCATATAGTAGTATGGATAAGTGGGGAGAGTGGGAAGACAATAGACATTTATGTATTAGAATGCTGATTCGCTTACTGCAGTGCGCCTCATCGGACTTGTCGCGGCAATCGCTGTTGCCGTCACAGAGCCAGCCGCGCGGAATGCACTGCTCGACTGTCTGGCATTTGAACTCGTTGTTGGGACAGGCATTCACTAAACACACATACAATAAGTACAATTCGATTCGTTGGTTAGACTGTTGGCATTTTTCGCACCACGTCGAGAGCGAATCGCCCGCGGTGTGGGGATTTCCCGCGTGCGATTTATGGCTACTTACTGCACAGCGCTGTGGCCTCGTCGGATCCATCGGCACAGTCGTTCTCCTGGTCGCAGCGCCATTTATTTGGTATGCAATTGCCATTCGTGCAACGGAATTGGTCCGCCGAGCAGGTGGCCTCTGTAAAGAGCAACGAGAAGTGTGTTAAATCGAGTATTTGGTGCAGTGCGGGATGGAGGGGTTGCTTGTGCTTGGCTTTGAACCCGTATCAAAAACAAAAGCCAACACACAAAAGGAAACAGCGGGCTCACTGCCAAGCGTGTGTGTGCGTGCGTGTGTGTGATTATGACCACACCCACCAACCCCATACAAACATACGTATATGTATATATATATACACATTTATTTACACGCACTTGAGCACGTGCTGAGCAACGAAAGCAGAAAGCATATCCAAATAAAAACCAACAAAAATGGAAGAACCATATGCTCGAAATTACGACTGAAAGGATACCACTTGCATTGGGTTTAATATCTTAGAGTACCAGACACTACCCAAGAGCAATCTTCGGGTAAAAAGCAAAAATAATACACATCCTATTCTATTGGTTTATCATCTTCAAGAAACCTTTTATTAATACCCACTATTATTTCCGCGTATACACTCCTCTAAGCCACTAGTACCCTGTACCAAAAAATTGCTGCTTGCGTCCCTCCAATGACTTTTTCAATGCCACTCCAAGGGGCACCCAAAAAATGTGTCATTTTTTCATTTCCACATATACATACATATGTACATACACATATGTATACCTTTCTTTTTTTGTGTGTAAAAGGATTACAAACAGGATTTTGGAAAGCGCTGACTTGTTGCCATGAAATCTGTTATATATCCCACACCATTTGGTAAGCAATTCCATTGCATACTTTTCTCCGTTGCCAGGCAAACTACTTTTCCAACTCGATTAGAAAATTTATTTTATTAAATTTTTGGTAACAGAATTTGCTGGAGCACATTTTGTGCTGCTCTATTCTGTTTGTTCTCTAGCCATTTTGCAACAAATTCCTGAGGCGGTTTTGTGTCAGGATTTTACTCTTTACTGCCTCTATAAAAGCAAATTTCCACCATTTTGGTGGTAAATGATCGAAGCATGCCTTGTGGCCTGTAGAAATGGCTCTGTTGATTATGCAAATCATGGCCAAAGCGCCAAAAGGAAATGCCAATATATGTACGAGTGTGTATAAATTTTAATCAATTTTTATGCCGGGCAGGCAGGCAGCCAGGCAGGCGCAATACTTGCCATATCAATAACATTTTATATGATTACTTTTCTAAAGTTTTTATGGATGGGCAGCAACACCATAGCACCCCCCACCCCCTGCTATGTATACGGTTGGCCATTGTATAGGAAAACTTGCGCCAAAACAAAACTTTGATGTGAGCCAATATTTGTTAAAATAAAAAACGAAAGAAAAACATATAAAAAGCAAATATAAATACTGCCACCCACAATTCAGTGAACAATAAAAAATTGGCCACATGTGACCCAAACAAGCGAAAATAAAATAAAATATATAAAAGGAAAACAGAAGAGAAACATTTTTTGTTCCCCCACATTTGGTTCAATGATTGTCGATTCGATTTTATGTTTTGCTGTTTTTTGTGTGCCTTCTGCTAATATGTGACATTATTTTCGATGGAATTGAGCCCCCGGCAAACCAATTGGTGGGCGCTTTCGTCCTGCCTCATTGTTACCTCAGTCACAGAAATTAAAAATCAAATTACAACACTATTTGTATCATGGGAAAGTTTCATTGATTGCATTTATGCAGCACCCCCAGGATCCAAAAAAAAAATATCATAAAACTTGAACTGTCATGCGGAATTTTTCAGCATAATTTTATTTTTTTTTAACTAAGTTTAAACGGCTTTTCAGTTGATTAAAAAACTTTGGCCTTTGGCTGTTGATGTTTCCCGTATACGAGAAGCATGTACCACTCGCTCCCTCGCTTCTGTCCTGGCAATTTGTATGCAAATGTTAAGCGGGCCCTGGCAAAAATATTCTGCTGCATGCAATGCATCGCTTGCAGGTTGCACAGTAAGCTGCCATAGACCAAAGTGGTGCACAGAGAGAGACGGAAGGGAGAGAGATTTTTGTAAATCCAGATGATTGGGATTTTGGCATGTTTAATTTAAGTTAAAAGGTGTCGAAAACTTTCCCACCCGATAATAGTTAAAAGTTTTACCCGAAACTTCAACTTGTTCAACTGACGATTCTTTTGTGCTTAGAGTTTGCCAGAAATGCTCGAAGGAAGATGATATAGAGACTTGATAGTTGACAAAATACTTGACAAGGAAGTAAAAGCCCTTGCAGAATGAAGTCCTTGATGAAATGTTGAAGATGAACAAACGAGAATTGCAGGCAAAATTTCAAATTTGATTACAGAACTTCGACAAATTCTACAGAGTTATTTTTTAATGAATTTCTCTGTCATTAATTAATCGTAACAAAACAAAATAAAAACTAAAACTATTTAAAAACTCATAAAAATAGGTCATAAAATAATTACAAAATTAATTAAGATTAACACTGCTAACATCATTAATGCTAATCATATTTGAGAACTGAAACGCACAAACAAGTTTGTCACGTCCTTCGCTCAATCATTTCAATCATTCATTTACTTGATTCAAGATTTTTTCCCTTTTTATTCTTATATTTATGCTTTACTTTTTCCCTGAAGTCCCCCCACAATAATATTAGCTTCAATATGCACTCCAGCCACACACAAAAACATTAAGCAATAGCTATTTTATTTACCATTTTCAAGAACCACAGCGCCAAAACTGTGACTCTGTTGATGCAGCAAACTGGTCACGAACAGCAAACACCAAATGTGTCCCATTTTGTTTGGTCAACGGCGAATGATTTCGCGACTTTTGTGAGGTCTTTAGGTAGTTTTGGAGAGGGGGAAGATTAAGCGATGAGTAATATTTTTTGGTGGCACAAGAATCAGGATTATCATTCATTTGCAGGAAGAGGAGGACGGACATTACATTTCCATCATAAAAGCGGACACATCAATTGCCGTGACATATTCGAGAGGTTCAGCCAACTTGCACAAATTGATTGCATAATTTCCGCAAACAAAAAGTGGAGCCCTCAAGGAAAACATTTTCAAGTTCATAATGAACAGACAGACAGGATGGACAGAATGGAGACAGGACGAAATCGGAGTCGGAGCACAGGACGGACGAAATATACAAGTTGTAAATATGACATTTCAGACCGACCACACCAGAACTTTTGCGGGCGAGGAAATTGAGGAAACTCATTTAATGTTCAACTGAATGATAAATGGTAAGTGCTGTCTGTCCAGTCACCGATTGACTTGGCGGATAAGTCTCGTCCCAGACTGACTGGTGGGGGGACAACAGAACGCACAAACAGAGACTGACTTCCTTGGAAGCTTTGCCCCGCCACGCCACGTGGCCGTAAAGGACACTCTAGTGCTATGCTGCTGGCATTTTGTCAATGATAAAACGAATCTTGGCTGGGGAAAATCGTGTGGGTCTTAGTCACAGTCACAGTCTTATTAGCTTTAAATGTTTTCACGTAATTTGTTTAGTCTTTGCTTCTATCCAGCTTTTGGTTTATTTGGTTTTAATTACGCACTTGGCACACTTTCGATGGCTTACATTTTACACGTTCTTTTTGGGTCTATGGTTCTCCGCTTTCCCTTCTATATATATTCCCCTCTTAACACACGAATCGCGCTAACTGGTCGGATTGACACCACCCGTTTGGTTGAGAAGTCTGCCGCCAACTGAGTGTTTGGTGGCAGAGAGGCAATCCTTAAAAACATTTCGACCCAAAGTTGTTTGCAGCATCTCTGCAGCCACCCCTCGAGTCTCGGCCGAAAGCTCGTTCGTTGCGCGTCGAGTGCAAAACTTTACGAGTCAAAAATCGAGTGGGATGCTGTGTGCATGAGTGTATGTGAGTGAGTGAGTGTGAATGGAACGAGTGTTTCAGGGTTTTGTTGTGAGCGTGAAATCTGAGCAGGTTGTACCAAAAATGTAAGGAGTATGAGAATTGAAAGGATCTGAGGGTTAGCTTTGGGCTTAGAGAATTTATTTTATTTTAATTTAATTTTCTGAGTTAGGATTTATCTTATAAATTATTTTTGTATAATTTAATCCCTCAAACTTAAGATAGGAGAAAACTCAAAACTCAGAATTACAAAAAAAAAATTGTTGATATTATTTTTAATATTATAATGTTGTATAACATTAATTTTATTTATTTACTTTTTTTTAATAAAAAAAAATGTATAAAAAATATTTAGAATTATTTAATGAGATATTAACTAAAATAAATTTTCGGTATTTTTTGTGTGAAAAATTATCTCATTTTTATTTTTTATAATTCATAAACTATAAACTATGTTTAAAATTTAACTTTTAGAAATAATCTTTTAAGACCCCCTTTCATTTGTAGAATTAAATATTTTTTGAATTAACCAATTATTCCAGAGCTTCCCAAACTTAAAAATACGTAGTGCCACAAATGATGATTATTTCAACAGCACAATCCCATCCACAAATATAAATTTCGCCACCCCAAACAGCACTATTCAAAAAATGACTATAAACGAACCCTCATTGGATATCCCCCAAGTTCAGAATGAAATTGTTTAGCCACCCCACCCACCCAATCGGCGAATAATGGAGAGGGCTCATTATCAATTTCACTTCATTTTAATGCCATTTCTTTCAGCCAGAAATTACATAAAGAAAATTGCGTTATGCACAACGAGAAACCAAAAATGGATGCATTCGTTCCGATTGCTTGCTCGCTTTTTGGTGTCTGGCACAAGTTGTGTGATAAAGCAGACGACCTCCCCATAGTTTCCTTTTATGAGCGGCCCGGCGACGCAAAAGTCTCGTGCGACGCAAATGATAAAGCGGACAGACAGCGGCAAAAAAGATTGCTGATGCAACAACGTTGCATGCCACAGTCAGCTAAACGCCAACTGCGCTGCAATTTAGAGAAGAGGGAGAAAGACACAGACCAGCCATGGCACAGTTTTTGGTCAGCAGCCAGCGACAATTGCAGTGCGTAAATGTTGCAAACTCGTTTCGGTTTTCATTTCATTTCAGTTTTTGTTTTCTGTTTCAGGTTTGATACAAACAAAAGGCAAAACCCAACGAATGCAACGCTTGCACTCCGACCATTATCTTGGACGCCACTGTGACTGCTTTATTACAGCAGCGGCCTGAAAGTATGCTATGGAAAAGAGGGGCATGGGAGACCATGAAACATCCGCTATGTAGACTGTTTCCTAATGGTTTCTCATGGCTTATTCATGCCAATAAATATATATTCTACTCCACAGATATCTCAGTTATGACGACTAATATTCAACTCACCCAAAAACTTGCATTCGGTGACCTGTTCATCGCTGTGATCCTTGCAGTCGGCATCGCCATCGCACACGAATCGAATGGGAATGCAGTCCCCGTTCCGGCACTGAAACTGCTTCTCATCGCACTTGGCCTCCAGCGCTTGTCCTGCACATGGAGAGAATTTGGATTTGAGATTAGGATTGAGATAGATGAGTAAACAGCTAATTTAAGCTAATTATAAACAATTCCTGTGGTGGTTATTTAAGAGCTTAGAAAAGTTTTTTCATTAAAGATACAAAAAAATAAAAATAACAAAATCTCAAATTGATTAGGGGCTAAAAAACTTCAAAACAATCAGCAACAGACAGATACCCATACACACACCCACATCCACACACAGATACAGATAAAGCAACAGCAAACAGACACAGATACAGACGAGGGTGTGTGTGGGTGTATGTGAGTGTGACAAGTAATTTGCATACTAAACGATAAACAAGAGGCAAGAGGATGTGGCTGTGAGAGTGGCAGCAGCAGTGCCTTTTAATCAACAGAAAAAGCCTGAAACTCAAAACTTTGGGAATCTCTTTGCCACCCCCCACCAATGCCCTTGAAAATATGCAATACACACATTTGAAACGAAACAAGCCATCACACACACACAGTGGGAAACCCCACAAAATGTCAACAGTCTATGGGACCTAATAGAAAATGTGACAGGCATTCAAAAGAAGAGAAAAAAATTAAATAAATAAAGGAAAGAAATAGATTGCCAATGAACCAACACAGAGACAAAGAGAGCGATAATGTGTGGCATAGAGAGAGAGAGAGGTTGGGGGGATAGACCCATTTTGAAAAGGGTTTCGGGTTCTGGGTCCTGGAGCCTGCAGCTGACAGCAGATTTGAGGCACCGCTCCATCATGCTCTTGCATATTTCAATAGCTCAATATTTTGCCATACGAATATATATTTATAATGCTAATTGTTGTAATTGAAGTTGAAGCAACCAGCAAAACAACAAATCGAATGAGGGAATAAACAAAAAGGGGCTGGGATACACTCCCTCCACCAATTGGCAGGCCTTGTCAATCAATAGGGTCAAATCAATTCAATTCTGTGTGTGAGTTCTTGTGTCGCCGCGTTGGCTGCCCTGGAAATTGTTTTCAATTATGCATCATGACAGCAAACAAAATGGCGAATTATAATTCAGGCATATGTATGCGTGCGGTACAGTTACATGGCGTGGGCATAATACATATACATACACTCGTACATTAGCCCCAAATGCCACATTCATGTTCAACATATTCCACATGACGTCAAGCGGCGACGCGACGCGACGGGACGGGACCGAAATGAATGAGTTTCTCTGTCTCTTATGAGAGAAATGTGCGAATGAATAAGTCAGAGCATATGAATATGAATATTATTGATGGAGATTTGACAAAGAGTTTCGTTACGGAGTAGCACAAAAGAAGGCCTGATTCAAACTGATGGTAAATAGTAGAATTTCATTTATATTTATATTTAATGCGATCGAAAATTCAATAGACTCCAGCAGACTCCGATTCTAAGGACTACAGGGCTCACTAACACTTTTGGGAAAAATTATCCAGTGGCTTCGGTAAGTTGTTATTACTCTGAAGAGTTTCCGTATACATATATCTGGGACACACCCCATATACGAGTAGCACCAGAGACAGAACCTGTTCAATATCCACCTTCATGGCCACCTATATGTCTGCCAGAAACTGTGAAACTCCTCTACGATCTGCCCGATCTACGTCTCAGGCGAAGTCTTTGAATAATAAAGCGATATTAAAACTGCTTAGCATATCTCATGATTTTGATAATCGTTAAGTCGAAAACAAGTTCGCAGCGCAATCCGGTTGGCTTAACCCACTAAAAACACCAATTTCGAAGCTAGTTATCAACCGATTTTATAAGCATTATAATCATTGATCATGCCTGAAAGTAATAGAACTTGACGTGGAATGATTATCGACTCAGGGCCAGACTCTATAAAGCAGTCTGGTGGTGCTGCTAGTGATAAGCACCCACAACAATCAATTCCACAATCGGATTTAGCAAATTAATGCTAATTTATATTGGAATAAAATCCAGGCGATAAGCCAGCACCTCAAGATCAAGGTTAATGGATTTTTTATTATTATTGTTAATTGTTATTGCAATATTTATTATGTGATTCCTGTAGGGGGCTCGTGCCTGTGCTATGCATCATCGTATGATGTATTTCATCCCCTCAAATGTTGAATCAATCAAAACATATTTACTCTGAACAAACAAAACAATTAAACTGCAACAACATCGCATGGTTTATATAAGGAAAACACCACACCCCCACTATTAATTGTTATTATTATAGTATGCAGTTTTATTGTTGCTTTGTTCTAGCACAAACTAGTTTTATGTGCCAGAGAGAAATCCGTTGGCACTGCGAATAAATTAAATCAACAAAATGAAATGGGGCGACAAAATCAAATTCCATCTCTCTTCAACGACCTTGCCACATCACATATACCCGTACGAGCAGATATATAGACTCGTACTGACAGCATCTCTCAGAGAGTATCAACTCAACAAATCTATAAATCAGTAGCAAAAGATTGAGATTGAGAGACTAAGAGATAGATGAATGGCAGCTGTAATGGGAAAATCTTACATGGCAAATTTTTATAGAAATAGGGGGCTCGACTCTGTCTTTACATAGTTTTTATAGCTCGAAAACATATCTAAATTTAACCACGAAATGCAGAAGTAGAAGCAAAGAGGTGAAAGATATTCTGGACTACGTCAATTCTTTAAAGTGCCAACAGCAAAGATCCCTGAACTGCGCCGTGTTTTCTTTTTCTTTTTTGGGTGTGTCGGAAAGCGTGGGAATGGGATGGGATGGATATGCGGGGTAGATATGTCAACAATCTTATTTACTTTGAACAAAGTCCAATAGACCCAGGTGCAAAGTACAAAATTGCAATTGAATTTCTCTTCGTTTTTTTACCGCTCAAGTAAAATTTTTTTCCTGATTTAGATTGATGAAAATTCTAGAAAATATTTCAATTAATTTCTTTGTAATTGATGAAAGCATTTACGTACATACGTACGTATAATACATATTTTATTTAGATGGAATATACTCGAATTTTCTTTAAATTGATCTGTTTTTTTGTAGCCAGCATATTCTATATTCTATATTTTATACTGAATATTTTTCCCTGTAATTCTTCAATTATAAGAAAATCTAAATTTATAATCGAATACGCTGTATATTAAGTATCGCGCAATTTTCGGAATGCCCTTGGGATTAGAGGGACTCGCAGCTTAATCGGTAAATCCTACAAATTGCATAAAAACAAATCATAAAATGACCAATCAAACCTTTCCACTGATAAGATAATCCACCCAGTAGCAAATCGCTGTTGGCCAAAGCAAGATTTATGATTGGAAATGCCCCGTCTGCCACACGACGTCACAGATAGTAGTCGCGACGCGGTTTCCCGGTATCAATGGCTATGGGAAAACGTGGTGGAAATCAATGCGGAAGTTGATTACAAATTTTGGTCTGCATTGGCACCACGGTAACCGGTGGCTCTCGTGCAACAAGTGGCAACCAGCCGGCCGGTGTACTGCGCTCTGCGTAACTGCAGCTGTATCTGTGTCTCTTCCACTGAAACTCAATCCAATTGCACACAAATATTGTGTGAGCCGGAGAGCATCGAATGATGATACCCTGCCCCAACGAATGTGATAAGAGTTGAACGAACTCTGTCTTTAATCTTCATTGATAAAAGCTGACTACGAGTATATCTGCAATTTAGTTAGTGATATCGAAGAATAGCTAGCCATACGCGTCAATGGACCTTCGAGGTCGTAGTAGTGCAAAGAACTACCGATAACAGAGTATTTAAACTACATTATTTTCCACCGAAAACAGTTTTCCTGAACGGCTCCTTTTGGAACTTACTGGGCTTTTAACCAACAGTTTCTTCTTCGATTTATTATATCTTTTTACTATGATTTATCTTCCATGATATCTTCCATGCTATGACGTCCAGATAATCTTACAAAACTCATTCAACTATTTTAAGTTTCTTATCTACGTTTTCTATTCCCAAAGAAAGGTTATCTATTAAATGTGTATTTTGAGATAAGATTTCTTTCGTTTTTTCTTTTCTCTGCTCTCTATCTAGGGTATCCAGGCCTCGCATCCCCCTAAAGCTCGCTTGCAACTTCGTTTGCGGTCTAAAATTAGCACAAGGCAAAGCTAAAAACAAACTTCACACTTTTCTTCTTTTTCTCTGTCTTCGCTTTGCATCATTCTATTGGGATTCATTCTCACCTATGCCGAGGGGCGTGCCAATCTTTCCAGATACATTCAGAAATTTGAAGCTCATGTTGATGAAGGTCTTGCCATCGAGCAGTTTGCTCAATGAGCCACCGGCTTCAGGAGCCAGCAATTGTTGGTGCGTTGTTGTTGCTGCTGCAGCCGCTGTTGTTGGTGTTGCTGCCGTTGTGGGCGGTGTGGGCGTGGCAGTGCAACATTTGCCCAGGCCGAGCATCAACGTTAGCAGCAGCAGATTGAAGTTTGCGCAGGCGCAACGGAACAGCTGTTCGGTCCGTCTCTTGCTGTTGCTGTTGCTATTGTTGCAGAGATTGATGTTGTTGCTGCTTTTGATTGTTGTATTTATTGGTTTTGTTATTGGTTTTGTTCTTGAAGCTGTGGTATCACTTGCAGTGCCCATAGAGCGTGACCCTATGGCCATGGTATGATATTTTACTTGTTTAACGTTTGGCTCTGCTTTTTCTTTAGTTTTTCTTTTCAGTTTTTTTGCATTTATTTGTTGCAGTTCTTTACAAAGTCTTGGCACTGTGTAAGGAGAGGGAGGAAATGGTGGTAAGACTTGACCCTGGCAATTAGATTATCTAAGCAGGAAGCGTTGGATCTTCAGCAGAGATTATCTAATCACATAAATGGCCAAAAGACCACAGCGCCGCTTTAAAAATAAACACTAAAATCTCTGTGAAAACATTGCAGACATCGTTTGCCAAAAGATCCCACACCCCGGCGGCTACTACGAGTCTTTCTCTTTCCTTTGATGTCCCGTTTCGCTCTTTATTTTATTTCTTAAGATGACCGCCCGAACATACGCACTCACTCACAAAAAATATTCACAAAAACACAACTGGCAAACTGGTTAAAATCGTACGACACCAAAATACGAAGACAACAACGAGACACCGCCAAAAACAGAAACAAGTAAGAACGTCATAGTCGATATTTCGACTATCAGATACCCGCTAATCAGACTCACGAACAAACGAGTGTCTACTTGGGCTGCACTGATTAGAAAATATGGCAAATATATATATATATATATATACATATGTATAAATATATTCCCTAACACATACCCCTTTAACACATAAGCCCAATATACCCTCGTATTCCGAGTGTACGGGATAAGAAACCCGAAAAACTGTGAGCACGCAAAGAATTAGGCAAAAATATCGGACAACAACAAAAGTTACCAAAAATAAGAGCGAGTGAGAAAGAGAGACAGCGAAATGCGAGAGGAGAGGCATGCAAAAAAGCAAGAAGAGACAGAGAAAGACGAGGAAGAGAACAGCAACAACAACACAGATCTGTTGACGTTGACAATTATAAAAGTAAATTGAAAAGCAAAGTGGCAGTGGAATTCGTTGTAAGTGGTGGGATGGGTCCAGCCACCCATTCAATCACTCGATCGCGCACGGTAATTAATTAAATATTGTTTACGTAGGTCCAATATTTAGCGTGGCACGCGTCTGCCAGCATTTCCGATAAAACAAAAACAAAGCATCTTATCAGTCGACTGTTATTATTTTTGTTTCCCCCTGTCGTTTTTGCGGTACGGTACATATTTTCAAGGTGTCTGCGAATGTGCGGCACGTGCTGAAAGTCGGTTTTTTTTTTGCCGCTATATTTACACACTATTTCCGTTTTGTTTGCGATGTTCTTTGAGTTACATTCGCTTTGCTGTTACGCTGGGGATTTCTTTATAAAAAAAGCCCGCCGACAAAATATCCGTTGTCCACAACGCGCCTTTTTCAAATGACTTCGTTTCGAGAATCTGCCTGCAATTTTAAGCGTTTTGGCAACGATCACGATCCGATTCGATCGCGCGATCGTCGCATCGCGTCTCGTTTGCTTGCTTGCTGCTAAGACAGAAAGAGAGAGAGAGAGAGGTAGCCTTATCACACACATCACAAGAATATGCGACTAACTAGACACCAGCCCGAAGAGAGGAAGAGAGAGAGAGAGAGTGGGAGATAGCACACAACGTGGCTCTCTTGCTCCGAAACGATGCTGTTTCTGCTTGCTCTCGATCTTTCTGATCTCTCTTAAGAAAGTGCGCAAGGGAAACCTGTTGATCGATGGTAAATGATCAATGAAATGTTGTCGAACATATATTTGAATGAATTTTTGTTACACCTTCTGAATGTTAAAGATCTGAATGGAGATCAATATTCATACAGTTACACAGTAACAGTTTTTAATTTGGAATTTTGATAATCTTTAATTAAATATATTATGGTTCAGAATGAGTTACAATTTTGTCCATAATACTCTACATAATTGTCTAAATAATGTGGAGGGTTTATTTGATTTAATTACAATTGTTAATTTGTTGTACACCTTGAGATTCTTTCCTGTAACTAGTAATAACAAATAACTGAAGTTATTATGGAACTTTAATTGGGGTTTCATTATGAAAAATTCCAGTTAAATTGCAAGACAAACCCACTTGAAGATCAAACTGCTGTCAATACTGTTTGTGGGGAAACAAAAAAAAAACCCTTCAAGTGGAAAGTTGTTCAGTTTTAAAATGGTACGGATGTTTGCGAATCGATTGTTACAAGAGTTGATAAGGAAATTGCATATGAGTGCTAAGAACAGACATTTTAATATTTTACAAGAATATTATAACTTCGTGGGTGATCCCAATCATATTCGAATAGAGCTTCAAAACTATTTACAAGATCTGATAGAGGAGATTTTTAGTACTTGATGTTTTTACAGGAACTGCATGAGAACAAATAAGCAACAATGGACAATGAGAAAATCAGCAATAATAATAATATAATATTATTATTTAAAAGACCTAATTAATGGGAAGTTTCGGTATCCTCATCTATAAACTATCGTACCAACCTTGAGAACAGGACAACGTCCATAGCAACACAAACAGTACCAATTTTGGTACACGAATATCAGTTTTTAGCATGGTAATTCCCGGAGAATCCCGATCGTGCAACGCCTGCTTTAGCTTAACTAAATATATCTTTCAGACTTTATCTAGAGATCGCGACTTCCTTTTTGCGTTACCAGCGACCTCCGACGTTTTATCAGTGCGCAAAAAAAGATATTTTTGTCTATTAATTAAGCCGGACAATGCGAACAGTCGGACGTGCGATAATCGTACGACAATTGTGCTGCCATATATACTCGATTATGGTGTATATAAGCTATATCCAGGTGTTCTTGGACAGGTGGTATTTTGACGACCCGAAGCTTTTCACGGTGCGATGCCCAGCAGCGACCGACGCGAACTGAAAATGGAATGGGACTCGGAATCCGAATTGGAATCGGGCAGCTCATTAGCATTGAAATTCAATCAAACTATAAGTGTGAGAGTGTATGCGAGCGATTGAAATGTGAAATTCGAAATTGAATTGATTTGGTTTGGTTTGGTTTTGAGTTGAATTGAGTGGAATTTTGAATGACGTCGATAGGTGGTTGGCTGATAAGAGTCTAAAAGCAGAACTGAAAACTGCAGCCATACTTTCGAGACAAAGGAGTCGGGAGTCTGGACATAATTATGACAAGCATCACAACAATCGTCTCAATCATCAGCAGCAGCAGCCCAATCATCATTATTCCCATTGTCATCATCTGCATTTGTCACCGCGTCTGTCGTTTCGGGCCATTTCAAGTGGGACATAATTTATGATTTACGCGTGTAAATCATTTTTCAAGCACCACCACCCCCTGCCAGTTTGGGAGTGATACTTGCGCGTGACAGTTCCCAGTACTTCCCCCTCCTGTACCTACCCGCCCTCTGGCTTAGTTTACAATCTGCGGCCGTTTCTAATTGCAGGCGTTTCAAAATCGCTGGCAAATCGCGCGCCTAATCAAGCACTCCACTTGACGCTGCATTTTATCGCTTTTCGGCCCGTCCCCAGCCCAGATCCCAGAGCCCAGAGTCGTGTGTTCAAGTTGCGTCGAGTGCGACTTGTTGGAGAGGAATGCACGGTGTCTTTGTGTCTTTGGCAGGCGTGAAGGGTCTGGTCTGTGGATCTATCGACTGCCCAGATTGATAGATAGCCCTTTGCACAAACACAGATAATGAGCGGATACCGTAATCTATCTTTCTTGGGGTGCTACTCGTAGCAGGGACTACAGAGACTACAGACTACCGATGGGTGAAATAAATATTATACCCAATTTGGCAATCTTATAGCGAGTAATGAGGACAGTTCCTACAGATCTTCCCGTAGTATGGAGTATGGGAACTGCGGAGATCGATACGGCCTTGATCTACAAGTGCCTGGCCGATATGGGGTCGGAAACCTTGTGGTATCGAGTGTCTGTTACGTGGATCACAGCGTATTTAGTATATGTGCCCTTCAATTCTAAGAATTAAGGGCCTAACAACGCAATATGGAATTACATGACTAAAGTAGCAAATGATTTGAAAAGGTCTGTTCCGTAATGTTTGTATTGTTTCCACTATAAGTATCAGTCGCTTCCAGGTCTGGCTTGGTCTGGATCGAGTGTGGACTCCTCCTTGAGATTTGGTCTAGGTCAGGTTGCAGCAATCACGTTTGTTATTTATTTAGGAATATTTATTCCTATTTTTAATGTTTCGTTTATTTATAGAGACACTTAGTCCTGTCGCCTCCATGTGGCTGGCTTTCTGTGTTCATTAAACTCGAATTATATTGAAACACTTTCTGTATGGTTCCGAACTACTCGACTGACGACGCGATTCTGAAAGTTACACGTAGGCTTTACAGTGCATTTTCGAAATGCCTTTTTCGATTTACCATTTACAATTACATGACCCGCGGAGGGTTTGCATTCATTTTCTATTAAGCTATTCACTTAATTAGCATATTGCTTTTACATATCTTAAAATCTGCGTCAAACACAAAGGTGTGAGGGGGGGCCTAGCACTTGGTACAATTTTCAGCTACTGCTTGAATAACATTCTTTTCAGAATTTTGGTTTGTCTGTGGAATATTTTTAGAACGCAGTTTATATATTTTAAATGCAGTAAAGAACATCTTACTAAATTAACTTATTTTTTAATTTTAAAGCTGGAATTCGGAAGTATTTATACATTTTTTTTTTATATTTTTTTAACACTATTTATTTTATACATTGTTTTTTTTTATTTGTATGAATATTGCAAATTAGTTGTATTTTTTTTTTAAATAATAGTGTTTTATTTTTAAAAATTATATTATGTCTCTAATTTATTTTTATTCAATTTAATTCTCATTCTTTCATATTTTTTAATGGATAACCTGAGCTTTCACACCTTTCTTCAGCCATTTTCCAGACCAATTCCAACAGTAAATTTTAATGATCCTACAACAAAAACACCAACACCAACAGACACCAATAACAACAGCGTAGAGCGATAAAAATCGCAATCGAAAATTCAAATGCACAAAAACGCTCGCGAAAGTCGCGCTCAAAACGCAGTTTCGGATAAAGCGCAACGCGAGCGGAATGTAAACGGCGAATGAATGTCGGCTAAGAAGTAACGGTAAATTTCACATGTGGCAAATGACAATAGAAGCCGTCGCTGACGTTGACGTCGCTGTCGCTGTCGCAGTCGCACCCGCAGTCGCCGTTTCAACCGCAGCGCATTAACAGTTGTGGATGCTGCTGTTAAGGCACTGCTAATCCACTGCCAAAAACTTAACAGTGAATGTTGCGCAGCGGCAGCAGCGGCGTCAACGATATCGCTCATAAACGTCATTCAATGGCATCCTATCTTTATGTGTTCGTGTGTGTGTGTGTACATTATAGTATGGGTGTGCGCTGAAGCGTGTCTAAATATGAGAGCATAAAAATTAATGTTATATTTATAGTGTGGCAGTAGCAAAAGTTGCGGCAGGAGGCGTTGCGGCCGCTACGCTGCAGGGCAGCCGAAGGAGCAGTGGCAATAGAGGCAGAGCGACCAGCAGGGGAAGCACCAGCTGCGGTAGGGGAGGATGTTGGCCAAGTGCTGGGTGTCGGGTTTGTCTTGCCGCTATTTGTGGGCACTGCCCGGCGGCAACTCGAGGTCGCTTCTGCTGCTTTTGCTGCTGATTGCTGCGTTACCAACTATTTGTAGTTGTCTGCTTGGACAGCAAGGGGGTAGGAGAGACTACTGGCTGAAGGGGTACGCTACTGTGGTGGGATGGGTAAAGGGTAAGAGTTTATCCAACTTGAATTTCAATAAGCAGAACTAAATATTTGCAGCGATAAATCGACACAAAAAAAAATATAAGCACGTAATTACAGTAGCTGCTCGGTATAGAGAATCTGACAGAAAAGTTCTTAAAATTGTAAAGTTCCTACAGGATCTCCATTTACTGCGTCAGAGTACAGGTCATGTGTGTTCTTCGATTTTTGGTATTTATAAACTGAATTTATAATTCTGATTAATTTCAAAAAACTCTCTCAGTTTGGTACGTAATATTTGTTAATTTGCAATCAATTCGGAATCAAATTGTATTTCAAACATTAGTCAAATTCCTTCATGGTTAAACGTTTCGATTTCTGGAGTATTCACTGCACTCCCTGACTGCCAGCTGGCGTCATGGGGAATGCTCATTGTGTGTGTGCACAAGTGGCCCACATGCGTGGCACGCCACGCCATCATTCGCGAGAGATATAAAGGGTTGCGGTCAATGTGGCGTATGATGAATTTTTCTGTCTGCTGAAGCGATGCCCCTCGTCTCTGTGTCTAGCAAATCTGCTCCATGATTTGTTTAGGAAAAATAATAATGAAATTATGGTGTACCTTGTTAGAATCAGATTGCTTTTGAAAGTGAACAAATATTGGGCTTAAGGCAAGATGATGATTGCCTTTAATTGACTGAAGTTAAAGCCTTTCCCTCATCGATTTTAAAGAACTATTTTTAAATTATCATTTTATCAATCACTCGATCGGCGCCATTTCATCCGACGACATCTAACCAAGGTTTTACTACCCCCCAATGTCCCACCAAACCAGTCGAATTCTGATTTCTGATTGCAGCGCACTCAATTGGGCAACTTCCTGTTAGGACAGGACTGAACAGGAATGTAGAGGACAATATTTGCTGATACGTGTGCCTGGTCTGGCAGGTCTGCCTGGCCTGCCTGGCCAGCATTTTTACGGCGAATCAACTTTAAAGTAAACTCCACTCTGCCCGAATCCAACTAAACAAAGATCCAACCGAGACCACAGACCACTCGGGGTTCCAGTGACGAGGGGGAGTGACGACTTCCCTCACATTAGCAGTCAAATAATCATACGCCGCATTGTGCCGGGCCGAAAAGGGGAATGGGAACGGGGATAGAGGAGGGTGGACCTGTCGTGGCATCTGTTGTGGATTTTTGAATGTGCCGTCAACAGTTTCCACGGCCAGAGAGGAAAACGTTTGCCTATCGGGGAATGAAAATGGGAATGGGAATGGAGCTCGGTTGGAAATGTGAATTCTCGCACTGAGAGGAGGTACGGGGAGAAGGAACTTTAAACTGCGGGCCTTTGGCTGATGCAGGAGGATGAGCAGGAGGAGAATGCGTCCTTAGATAGCAACCACTGCCACTGCCTCCGCCACTGCTCCTGCCTCCTCCGTCTCTGGTTAGTTGGTTGGTTGGTTGACTCGTCCTCTTCCTCCTTCTGGCTGCTGGCTTTGGCTACAGGACAAAATGTACCGCTAAGCATCTGCCAACATCGTGCGACTCTTCAAAGGGCCAGGAGATAGAGGGATGGGGAATGGGGACCAGGAACACGACTACGACTGGTATGACACGCGACTGCTGGTCGGGATCATGGGGGTCATTGTAATCATAACGGTGACTCTCTCTTTGCTGGTTCTGAGTCCCAAACAGGACAAAAAGTGCGCTGAAATGGCGCCAAATTAGTCAAATCGCATAATGGCCACAATACAGGGTGCCCGCTGCATAATACTCGTGTAATGTGAGCAATTTTCAACCATTTTCGAATGTCAAGTCAATTGTCCAGACCCTCTGCTCCTCCTTTCCCCATTCGGCGCAGTTCTTTTGGCAAACAAACAAAAGCAATCGACTGGAGCGGCTTGGCTTCATTCTCAATCTGCTGCTGCCTCCTCTGCTCCGTCTTAGAAGCTGACGCTGACTGCTCTGCTCTGCTGCCATCTCTGCTGCTGTCTCTGCCTCTGGCTCTGCTCTGCTTCTGGATGGATGATGGACAAATGGCATCCCAAAAGTGAGCAGCGGCTAAGCAGCGGAGTGGAGCGGAAGGACAGCAGCCGCAGCAGAGGTCCGCGACAGTTTTTATGATTTTTCGTTGGCTGTTTCTCTGTTTCTGTGTCTGATTCTCTTTTGTTTGCTTTGCAATTATTTACGCTGTCGCGAAGAGTGTGGACTGTAACAGATTGTGCGGGCACTGTTATCCTTTTGGTGCTGGCAGGGTTACTTTTTGTGGCACATCTCCTGCTTAGCTGACTCGCATTATCATCCACATCCACGGCGAACGGAGTGTGCGCGTAGTCGCTTCCTCCTGTTCCCACTCTTGGCCAATCCTCCCACTCTTTGCCCCCACTTTCCACCAGTCAAAAGTTGGCCAATTCGACAGCCAAACAAACTTCTCACTTTCCCCCTAATTGATATCAGTTTCTGATTCTCTTTCGGTTCCAAATACCCTGGCAGAAATAGAAAAAAGAAATAAAAATGTTTTCGCTCTGATCCCCCGAGGGAGACCCACCAAGTGTTGGGCAATGTAAATCCGCTTAGTGCGAAGTGGACTCATAAATTATTGATTTGATTATGTCACCCGGTGCTGGCCGGACCGGACCGGACCGGATGACACACTCCCCAGTTCCTGTTCCTAAACTCGTCTCTGGTTCGCTGGTATTTAGAAAGGATCAACAAGCGATTATGTCCTGCCAGCACTCAGCTAGAAGGAGAAAGAGAGTGGAAAGGTGTATGGCTAGACGGGGGGGCTGTGAGGAAGTGGGACTGTGTTTTGGGGTAAGGTCACAATTGGCGATGGGCGTGGGCCGTGGGCCAAGGGCAAGTAAAAATACTCAGCCCATCTGCCATCTCTAGTTGTAAGTAAAAGTGCGGATTAGTTGACATATCAATGTCTGAATCTGAATCTGAATCCCCATCTCCTCTTCCATGATGTGTATTTGTATCTCAGCCTCAATCACCAACTGTATTTGTATCTGTATCTGTACCTACTTATCCTGCCGTATCTATATATGTTGCTGTACCAATTGCATTATTGATGAGCGGAATCCGTTCCTAGTGCCGATGTGCTTTTTTTTCGGCCATTTGCATGCATGCTCGATTCACGGCACTCGGCTATTTATAGTCTCCATGGTTAACTCGATTGAGCAGTCCTTGGCCGCAACTTATACCCTGCCCAACTCCCACTTCTCTCCTTCAACCACCCACATGCTCCGTATACATGGCCTTGCCACATGTTTGCCATTTTCGTGCTGATTTCCATTTGCTGGCTCTTTCTCGCAAGGGTAATTCCGATGACCATACCAATCGGGTATTTGTATTTTCGGTTGGGGTTTGAAGATTCTTTCACCATCTCTTACCAGTCTGTAAAGAGATTTGGCCTATCCTTCGCTTTGGTAGAGTATACCCAGCTTGAGTATTGCATGTGTGACTGAGATCTCATCTTGATTCTACCTTTTCTTCGATTTGTTTGCATATCCTGCGCGTGCCTCCCATTTTCCGTTGCCGGCTCGC